ACATTCCAGACAGATTCAACAATGAGTTCCTGAAGGAGAGTTTTCTAGAACTTTCAAGAAGTTTCAAGAATTTTCAGAATGCTCTGGCTACCAAAGCTCATATAACAAAAACATGATGAGAGATTATATTTGGAGACTGATTCATGAAAGTGGTTTACAGTATAAGTGCAAATTGTGAAAATCTATCACAGGATGAGGGCTTAGCAATGGGCTCGCCATTATCACAAAAAGCAAAGTTTGAAGGAAAATAAGCCAGTGTAATATATACATGGAATACTTTGAAGAAATGGCATTAGAGTCTATATTCGCTAAAGCCAACTATATGGTTACGTGCAGAGAATTTGGAAAGAGTTGATGACACTTTCATACAATGGTTTGGCCACATCAGGAAGAAGTCCAGGTTCTTCTGGACCATGTGAACTCAATAAGACCTTCAGGATACAGTTCACAATGGAGAAAGAGAGTCCAAACAACTCACTCCCATTCCTGGATGTACTAATATCTGCGAACAGAGAATGGGTTCAAGACATCCGTATACCGTAAACCAACATTCACCGGACAGTACCTCAATTTCAACTCCCACCATCCATACAGCGATAAATGTGAACAGCCAAGACAAAGAAAGGGATCAAAAGTGTCCGATGCATTTACAACATCGAGTTGGTCAAAAAAGTCATAAGTGGCGATCCAGAGACGTTGGTCGAGATAAGGAATTGGTCAGTATAAGTAGGGCCTACAACGCAACAACTACCCTGGGTACATGGCAGCAGCCCCAAAAACTCCACAGGGGGATAGGCGGGTACAAGAGGAGGAGGAGGAGGAGGACAACAACACTCAGAAAACAGTCTGCCTGCCTTATGTGAAGGGGTTATCAGAGAAAATACAAAAGATCTATGGTTGCCGGTCCATATAACATCAGGACAATCTCATGTTTTCTCTGCACTGACGATCAACTGTCATAAAGAATTTACACTTTCACAGCGATAAGAAAAATAGTTCTGGAGTTATTAACGCTTCAAATAATAGAAAGCAATTTCAAGATCTTTGTCACCCATGAAAAAATACTATGACTTGAGTCACTCATAAGATTGTTCTACTTGACTAATGTCAGACAAAGTGCGTTTACTCTGTTTTAACTATAGTCCAAGACCTTCAACCTGAAAACAATCCATTGATGACATCCAAACAAGCCAGCTGTGCTTTGACAAAGTTCAATAAACTGAATTACATCAATGATAATCTAAATGTGCTGTATCTGTTCAGGACATAGACAATCATGGCTCTCCACAATTTTCTATCCTTCATAGATCTTAGTAAATTTTGTCTTTTTACAGTCTTTCCTAATTCCTGTTCTGCCAACCATTTACACAAACTTGTTAAGTAGGTTATGCTTTCCTCTGTCCATCTTGCCTTCAATGTCCTGTGAGTGGCAAATTATCTAAGTCCTTTTCCATTATTATGTGCCCTAGAAATTTCAACTACCTCTCATTCTGATGCTAAGTATAAGTGTAATTTTTTGTCATTTTCTTTAAAACTTTGTCATGCTCACATGTTCAGTCCATAGTATCCACAGCATCCTTCTGTAGAACCACATTTCTGTTCCCTCAAGTTGTTTCTTCATATGTAATGAGAATGTCCAGCATTCACTGCCATATAGGACTGATATCACATAACAGTTCAGTACACTTTTCTTTGTTTCTAACAAAATTTCCATGTTTCTCAATACTTAGCTTCTGAAAGACTTCTTTTTCTATACCAATGAGCCTTTAGATTTCAGTGTTGCATTTTCCATCCTCTGTTAAAACACTTCCTAGATATTTAAATTTTTGTACTTGCTTGATTTTGGTATCTCCAATTTGTAATTCACATGTAGGACTGTTTCTTTTGCTGGCAACCATACATTCTGCTTTCTTACAATTGAGGTTTAGTTCTTTTTTCTCCCTTTACTTTGCAACTTTTGTAGGAGTTCCTGCAGTTTCCTTTCTGTGTCTGCTATCAACTCTGTGCCATTTGCATATTTTGCTAAAATTATGACCACCAATAATGAACCCTGGTAGGACTTCTAATTTTCTGAGGATTGCTTTACTGTAAAAGTTGAATAGGTCTAGTGAGAAGACACACCCTTGTCTTCTGCCTCTATTTTTACTACTTTATCTGTAATATTCATTCTTTCTATTTCTGCAAACCTTTTTCTTGAGTCATTCTTTTGCCTGCCTGTATATTTGTTCTTAATTTCTTTGTCCAATATCCTGCATTCTGTGCCATACCATGGCATTGCTACTTTCATTTTCATCATGTTAATAATTTCATCTGTCATCCATTTCTTTTTCCAGGTCTAGTTTTCTTTGTGTTGTAGCATACATATGGATGATAATGGGCATGTCCCCATTCACATAAATACAGTAATAAATACTGTATGTCGTTCTGCAGTTGGAGATTCATTGTGGAATTCACTTGACCTACTTCTAGCAGTTGACTACTTCTACACGCTGCTGGTGTATCTTATATGTGTTGTTCATGTCCTAAGTATTAACATTCATTACCAACCTTTGTGTGATTATTCTATTCAGTAACTTTTCCTAGGTTACAATACTTTGTGATGATCACATTTACTAATATTTTTCTTAATTTCTCTCACATCAAATTACCATTTTCATTTAGTTCATTGTATCTGCTTTTAATGCTGTTTGTATACTTCTTCAAATTCTGGTCATTTGGGTGCTACCAATTTTTCTAGTTTCACTCTCATTTTACATATCACTGAAAGGTAGTGCTCCTGCACTTGGCACTTGGGCAAGTTTTACAGTGTAAAACTGGATTCCTGAATCTCAGATTGATTATTATGTAGCCAGTTTGGTTCTTCATTTCTCCTCCTGGGCTTCTCTATGTTCATAAACATCTTGGGTGGTCTTGAAACCAGGTGTTGGTTACTACCTGATCATTTGACATGCATCATTAGACCCATTTTGAGTTTCTAGTCTAAATTTGCCAACTATTTCATCATTTTTTCACTTTTGCTTTCTAGTTGCAGACTCTAATGATAGATTCGACAATCCTATCAATGATTTAAAATTCCTATATTGTAAATAAGTTAAAAATAACTGAAGCAACCCAGCATTGTTGTGTAGTATTTCATAAATGCAAAATAATAACTTGAATTTGTGGGTGGTTGAGGAGGGTGAAAAATGTTTTGGTTAAAAAATATTCAAGTCACCCACAAAAAAAAAATCAAAAGAAGAGAAGAAAGCAGATCAAATGAAAATAACAAATTTTTATATTCCAGAAATTACTGAGGTGTTTTACAAAATTTTTAGTCCAGTTTCTTCTTAGGAAGACCGTTTTTGTAGGACAGGAAATAAATTAAACATAGGAAGATTTCTTAATTGACTCAAACTGTTTCATCTGTTTGTTACTTCGACTATCACACAGACTTTCACTCTCATTTGAATGGACTACTACATTGTCCTTTTATTTATGCCACACGCACAGACACCAGAGCTTGGCTCTATTTGAAAATATGTTATTTGAAGAGTATAAAATTTTTAATAACTTTATAAAGCTGAAACTGTGCAGATTTATAATTTGATATGTTTTAAAATGATGTGTAATCTTTATCTTTCTTGATAAATTATGAGTTAATTAAATATTAAGTTGGTATCCACTCATTTGGGATATTGTATCTTCTTAATAATTTTCAATTGTCTGAAAGTAATTAACAGAATATATTCTTATAATGTGTCCACTCTAATTTGAATCAGCTTAAATTTATTCTTTTTTCTAAATCTTAATTTATATTAATATTTCAAGATTTTCTTCACAAACACTACAAATTCTTAAATATGTAACAGACATTTTCTTTTCTGAAATATTGTCATATTTCAAGAATTCACTTTTAACCAAAGAAAGGAACTGCAAAAGTAAGTGAGTTGTCGCCCTTGGTAAACTGCACTCTCTAAGATCATGTATATCGTCAAATCAACCAATCACTAGCAAGAATATTTTACTCTTCCTCTTTTCTGCCCAGGTTTGCCAGGCACAGGATGTCAAAACCGTCTCTGATTCTACTTGCACTTTGACATGAGAGCCGTACTATATTAGTACATAAACAAAACCATTTTACAACACCAAGGACTTCAGTTAAATGGACTTATATTGTTTCATTATAATATATAGCCACAAACAGAACAATTTGTTTGCAACAAGAACTATTATTTCTATAGTATTTGTATATATGAACTTCAATAATATTCCTTTTTAACTTTCAATTCGTGTTCCATGCTCTTCCTGTATTGATATTATTTGTGGCTTAGATCACCATATTCATATCAACTCATTTAATGCCAAAAATTAATTTTCTTGGGAGCTTTGATGTTTGTGAAAACATAATTACTAAGTTAATTTTCTGAAACACTATCTTATTTGCTTGAATACTTATTTTAATCATCAATTCCTATCTGTTTACAATATATAAAACATGGAGGGAGAAATCTCTTCTGTATAGAATCAGTTATTTTATGTTACCCAGGTCCATTACATTTGAGAAGAGAGTCTATTCAGTTTAACAAGTGTGTGTGTGTGTTACACATCAGTACATGAGGAGTTTTGTCCCCCAACTCCCAAGTGCTTTAGTCATGACCAGCTCATATTTTCTAATAGAAAATTATTTTCTGTTTACAGTCAGGTAGATAAAAATCCATGTTTGGCTGGAAATAAATATCTACTTGTACTTTTTCAGATCCATTGATTTATTCTGATATAAAATGAACAAGCTCTTTAAACTTGTTTACACAAGTCTTGAATGACAGGATTCATATGTAGAAAATTTGATTTAATGCTGAGTGTCAAGTTTTCTTTCAAGTATACGATATCTTATATATTGCCCTAATTCTCTGTTTCAAGTGGATACCGTGTGAGTGTGTGGTAAGATAATCTTCACAATTTGACCAAAACGTCAAACTTTCATGGATGATTGAACAGGAAATAATGCTACAAAACTTGCATCAGGAGAGGCCAACACGCCAAGAAGGAATGGCTCTGTTAAAATAAAACAAAATAATGAAAATTACTGAAGCAGCTTGTTAATTTATACATAAGTATCAATAGTATAATAAATTCTACTTCAAATATTAAATCAAAGTCAACTGCAATTTTAAATATAATAGTTAGAATACAAATATTTAGCAAGATAAAAAGAAAACATGAAAGTAAAAGATTAATTTCCAAGTTACTAAACAAACATTTAATCAAACAATAACAAGAATAATTTAGTTGCTTAGTTTAAAGCAGGTGTAGGGATTTAGAAGACAATTACCTCCCTTTGATGGAGATAAGTCATATGGGTCACATGATGGGCATTTAGTGACATTACTTTTTACAGTGACAAAAGCAGCAGTCAATTTCAGTTTTTTTTTACAGCAGCTAAACCAAAAGGTTACTTTCTGTAGCTTGGGCCCCCACCATAGCCCAGGTAGAGGCTAAATCTGCCTCCCCAGCAGGTTATAAGTCCATGGTGCTATTTCCCTTTACGAATATATCTTTCTCAGATAAAGAAAGACACTCCAGCTTGCAGTCCTCAATTTGGGAAAACCCAAGACTCACTGTTTCCTGTTCATGGAATATGTCCTCAACTAGGACATAGATGAATTCAGCTCATTTGAATCTAAAGTCATAAACATGGCTTCTCCAGACACAGGAGTATCTCCATATTATATGTAAGACCCTTCCTTTTTGATTCTCCTTACACTTCACTTCACTATGCAGATATATGTGATAATTATTCTCTGTGTGGGACACTTGTGTATATATTCTCTCTGAGAACCAAACATGTTTGTCATCCCTTTTCCTTTCAGCCATTCTGTTCCATCAATGATGTACGGTATTATTATATTACAGATATAATAATGCACATAATGGGGGCAGTACAAATGGGAGAATAAACCTTTCTACCACAGCTTTCTTTCATGACACTGTTGACCACAATGTGATATTATATATCTGACATCACCCAGTAACTGTTGAAAGTCATTATTTTACCTCCATTGCAGGTATTTTATATTAGTTTTTTTTTTATCTCTTTTCTGTATTGTCTCTCTCCCACCATTTCTCAAACTCTGAATTTATCCTTGCATGTCTGTTTTGATGTAAAGTTTTAACTACCTTTCTTCTAATCATTAGCAATGGTTACTTCATAGTTTTAGTTCTCCTTAAAACATCATCATTTATCAAGTTTGCCATCCATGATATCCTCAACATTCATTGGTAAAAATCAAACCTTGGTTTCATCAAATCTTTCTATCAGTTGTAACAAAATTGACCAGCATTCACTATCATAGAGGAGATTAGAAATTATATAGTAACACAACACTCCTTTTTCCTAATGTTATTTTTTATTCTTTAGTATCTTAGTTCCTGAAAAGAACTATTCATTATTCTCACGAGTCTTTGGATTTTCATCTTCTGTTGCTACATTATCCAAATATATAATTTCTGCAACTGCTTGATTTTGAAGTTGCCAATAGGTAACTAACAACTGAAGCTATCCCTTTTATTTAAAATCATGCATTCTTTCATTTTACAGTTGATGTTTAATCCTTTTTTCTTGCTTATATCAGCTATCTTGTCTAATAGTTGTTTCAGTTTTCCTCCTGAATTTGTAACCAACACAGTGTCAACTCTAAGCATATATGTTGTTAATATCATGTCTACCAATAATAAATCTTGATAGGTTTTCTTTGGCTTCTTTACACATTTTATTAATGGAGAATCTTTGATTAAGAAGTATACTGCAGCAAAAAAGGAGTAAATGCTTGGCAAACAGATATATATTATTAATATTCAGACTAATGTTCTCATCACATTTCAGTCATTGTGCTCTCTATGTATTACAAAAGCTATATGAGCAGGTGCTGAAAAGTTCTCAGTCAGATCCACTCCCCAAAATTTAATCAAATGATTAAACATTTGTTTTTGGAAGCGCTTCTTAATCAGGCCAAAAACTTTTCAACACCCTTTGAAATAATAAGCACATAAGCTCCACTTAAAGGCAAACATTTGTATCTATTGTTGGATTACCACCCACTGGTGATAAAATCTCACTGTGGCAAGATTTTTTAATTATTGCCCCCTGACGATATTTACAGGTGGTGCAAGATTTGAAAGACTCAATCACTTTTTCACTGACTTTTTATAGAAAAAACATGTATTCTTTTCACTCCTGCAAAATGTGAGTAAACAACTACAGACACTATCTATATTTCTGAGATGATGTATTATGTACACTATTTACATTATTTGGACTATTGTCCTCATTTTTGTTGCCATATTTATCACAATGTTTCAGCCGTTGTACACTCTGGCCTTCTTCCCATTCCAGGATGTTCTAATATCTTGAACAGAGCATGGGTTCAAGACATCCATATACTGTAAACCGACATTCACCAGACATTACCTCAATTTCAACTCCCACCTTCCATACAACGTAAAAAAAGGGATCGTCCGCTCCTTACAACACCGAGCAAAAGTCATAAGTGGCAACCCAGAGACATTAGATAAAGAATTGGTCAGTATAAGTAATACCCTACAACGTAACAACTACCCTGGGTACATGGCAGCAGCCCCCAAAAACTGGGATAGGCGGATACAAGAGGAGGAGGACAACATTCAGAAAACAGTCTGCCTGCCTTATGTGAAGGGGTTATCAGGGAAAATACAAAGGATCTGCGATCCATATAATATCATGACAACCTTCAAAATTTGGACGACACTTCGCAGATACCTCTCCCGAGTAAGAGCCCCCATAGATGAGAACATGACTAAAGACCTTGTGTATACCATCCCATGCAGCTGCGGAAAGAAATATAAAGAGGAGACAGGCCAACCCTTAAGGTAAGGCTTCAAGAACACCAGAAAGCTGTAACACAAGGGGAAGTGGAAAAATCAGGTGTGGCTGACTACATATGGAGAGAAAAGGGAGATCACCACCCTCTGTGGGATCAGGTTGAAATCATAGGCAAAGAACATCATTGGAAAATTCATAAACTTAAGGAATCAGCACATATGCTAGGCCACAAAAATCTCCTGAGCCAACCAAGCATAGAAATGAATACATTAGGTTTATAATACCCAGAAATTCATACACATATACACAGATGTCCTTAAGAACACATGGTACAGTGGATAAAGGTGTTAGTTAGATCCAGTGACATGACTCAAAGAGTGTGAGTTGAATACCTGGTTAAGGCGGTGGGGAACTTGGAGTGGGGAATTAACAGGAGATAACTGATAACTGACATCCATTAGACATGGCAAGTGGAACTAGAACAGTTTACCCCTGTGAGCGAAATAAAGGGTTCAGTTTGACATTCCAAACACCTGAAGAATGCCGGAGTGCACGACGGCTGAAACGTTGTGATAAATATGGCAACAAAGATGAGAACAATAGTCTGAATAATGTAAATAGGGAACTACAGACACTTAAGGTTGCTTTGAACTTTTCACATTTTGTATCTTTTCTTTTGTAAAATGTCCAGTCAATATATTTGTTAATATTTCTTTGTTCAAATTTTATGTATTATTTTTCCTTTTGACTTAAACAAGTCCACCAAAATTGTTAGTGGGTGAAGTGTAACAGGAGCTTATGACTTCTCATCAAAAGTGTTTATACATGCACCACTATTTTTAACAATGTTTCAACCTGCATTTATACAATCACTCTTCTTTAATTTCAACTCAATAAAAAGAAATGACCAAACAGATTAGAAATAAGTTACAGTAAATTAAATCAATACATTCAATAGGCACAAAGTAAGAGAGAAAAAACAAATAACACATTTTAAAGTAATATTTAAGATCTGGATTTACAGAAATCTGGATTACAATAAACATTTTCTTCTATGTTGTATTCACCTAACACATTATTTGGAAAACTTGAATTGTAATATGTTCCATTTATAAAGTATGATTGATATCCAAAAGTTTCAGGTTGAACAGACTTACCTTATCAAAAGAAAAGGAATTTTAAGGCAATTTCAGAGAAAAACTTTAATCTAATAAGGCTTTAATATAAAGTTTTTATTAAGATAGTAAATTATTTGGAAGCATAGCTTTTGTTTTTATATTGATTGATATGAAGATGAGACAAAGTGGAAAATCTATACACAATGCATTTTACTGAGAGCATCTACTCTCTCTGGCTTCCTCAGGTTAGAGTGAAAGAAAGACAATATGTATATGAGGAAACATGCATTGCAATCTCTGATGATAAAGGGAAATCATAAATCAAATTAAATCACCTTATCACTCCCAATGACAGACTCAAGAGAGTGTCAGTTTTGTCTTTTTTTCATTCTAATATGAGGAAAGTTTGTTTGATAAACAATCCTTACAAGGGTGCACACTGCCAAAATACTTGCAGACATAGTTGTAGAACTGCAATGTGTTATTGTTGGACCATTTAATACAATAATAACTCCCTTCACCACTCCCATAAATTCGAGATTTTCACGAGCCAGTGCGAAATTATTTCTAAACAATGAGAACCCTGCATTTAAAAGTTTCACACATCTTTTTTGAATCCCCTTATGGATATAAAAATGGAGGCATACTACTTCTCAAGGCTCAAAACAATTTCATAGGAGCAGTTTGATCTACAAGTGTGTGTACACACACACACACACAGAATAGAAGATACAACAGCCAGCAGCTGCTGACTAAAGACTTGTCCATGCACACAACAGAAGGGATTAACCAAATGCCTACTAAGCCTTTGTCTACAAACTTACAAACACACTAGGCTGACTGTCTACACATTTCCCACCACCCTAAGAATACTTAAAACTTCACTGCTAGGTAAATTAAACATTTAATTGCCATTGTATATTTCTGAAAAGAATATATAAATGTTATTTCAACTGACATTCTGCTCGTACATTTTCTTCAGAAAATAACCTTTTATATGTTTCATTTAAAAGATGCGTTGATGTTGTTAAATGTTTGGGATCCTAACATTCAGATAGAAACAAAAATCTGGGTAGATAGATCTATTATGTAAAAGGGCCAATGGAAAAACCCGAAATTCTGTTAACTGTTTCTGGCACCAGTTTTGTGTCACCTGTGTGCAATTGTAAGATGCATTACTTTGTTATAACAAATTATCACCAAAGGGGAAATATGTCAAGTTAAAAGGGGTGCAAATAGTCTGCAACAAGATTTGTATATGTCACAGCTGTGACCACAAATTACAGTTTCACTCACAGTTCCTTTGAACTCCAACAGACCCCACACAATCTAACCTCACTGACTTCTTTTATGGGCTATGTTCCCACCTGTTTTTTGTTGTTTTAAGTAACTTTCAACCCTTCACCATAGCCTCTTTGTATTTGTTCTACCATCGATTCACTCAAACTCATTAAATTGGTTACTCATTAGTTTCACTTTGTTTCTTTGCCTTCAACATACTCTGTGAGTGTTAAATTCTCCAGGCCCACTTTCCTCATTGTCTCTCAGAAAATCCAGATGAGTGCAATTATAAGTTTCCTTGTAATTCTTATTTTCTTTAAAACTTTCTGATTGCTCACATGTTTTGTTCATGGTATTCTCAGCATTTTTACTACTAAAAAGAATTAATCTCTAGCATAAATATCCATCCCCAGCAAATATCTTTATAAAACATAGTCATAACTGTTGAGCATACTCTTTACTCATCCTATTATTTTTTTAATTTATTAGGTATATATATATATATATATATATATATATATATATATATATATATATACACACTGCATGCCAAATTATTATTGAGATAACTTTTTTTCTAATATTTTAAAAACCGTCCAATCAATTCCCACAAAATATTCACACAGTGTTGGCAACATTGACTTGCATGATCACTGAAATTTTCGTACTGATCTGCGCAATGTAAACAAACTGGTGCCATATTTGTTATCAGCACAGTGATTTGAGCGTGCCAAGTTATTAGAAAGGTTTAGTAAAATTCCCAGAATTGAGCAAACAAAACGTTTATTAATGTTGAACATGAATGTTTATGATCAAAAGAAGCTAATAAATAAGATAATCAAACAAATAACAGATACAAACAAATGCACAGTTTTAAACAAATTAATAGGGAATGTGCTTTCCCTGTTTTGAAATTACTTGAAAAAGTTGACGATCCATAGAATTTGTTAATTGTAGGATGTCATCTGCTGTAATGCCGCGAGATATGTCAAGAATTGCTTCCCACAACTGAGCATTGCTCCTGAATTGTCGTCCGTTGGTGTACAGTCTTCGCTTCATGATGCTCCAAAGGTTTTCAATTGGGTTCAAATCCGGGGAATTTGCTGGCTACTTCATTTTTTGAGGTCCATCAAAGCCTGTTTCAAATATTCAGTAGTCTTGTGAGCAGCGTGTGAGGGAGCATTATCTTGTATAAAAAACAATGGCCCTTCTGAAGGCAACTCTTTGCCTTTTCATCCACAGTTCAAGATGCTCCTTCATAAACGCTATGTATGCATCAGCAGTCATTTTGACGCCATCTCGTACTCTCCATGGGCCCACTAATGTGTTTCCAATAATACCACCCCAGATTATTATACCTCCACCACCTTGTTGGCGTCTCAAACACTGATGGCAATTCTGTCCGTTCATCACCCAGCCTTTGCACCATCTATCTGGCCCATCAAGTGTTGCTCGAGTTTCGTCTGTGAACAAAACTTTAGAGAAGTCAATCTTTATATTGTCCTCGGCCCATTTCAATCGATTTTGAATGATTTCTCGTCAAAGGAGACTTCGATACAGGTTTGACTGTTGTTGCTATTTCCCTCAGATACCGACAATGAGTACTTTTAGACACAGTAGGATCCCCAATACGACTGAAAAGCTCGTGACTGGTAAGTCCAGGGTTCTTCGTGGCCTCTTGTTTAAGTCGTGACATGAAACGACGTGAAATGACCCTCGGCTTGCCTTTATATGCCCTTTTGCGTACTTGTGTAGGGTCGGCGGTGAATTTTTCACTGTTTGATGACACTTCCCTATCATTTTAAAAATTTCTAGGGTAGATTTACCTTTTGAGAGTTCTGAGGTAATAGTTTTCTTTTCATTATCACTTAAACTGTTTTTACGGCCCATGTTTTCACTAAATTCTTATACTTTTGTAATAATTTGGCACACTCAAATCACCGTGCTGATAACAAATATGGCACCAGTTTGTTTACATTGCGCAGATCAGTACAAAAATTTCAGTGATTGCGTAGGTCAGTGTTGCCAATATTGTGTGAAAATTTTGTGGGAATTGATTGGACAGTTTTTGAAATATTAGAAAAAAAGTTATCTCGATAATAATTTGGCACGCAGTGTATCTGCCTTGTAAACGCCTCTATTTGCTAGCCAAAAAGAGTTTATGAGCAATCAATAAAACACATAAAAAGAAACTAATGAAAACCTTTACCTATGAGGCATATGTAAGAGAGGTCCACCAGCATTGTTCGTTGTGTTGTCTTTTAATCTTTCCTTCCAACCAGCAGTTGGTTGATACAATCGATTTGGATCTCGTTGAACAACCACCTCCACCTGCAGAATAGCAAATGCATAATATTTTCAGTTCTGATGAAATTAATATTTATTTAATAATCTTTGTAATATTAAAAAAAAGAATAATTTAGGAATATCCTTACAAATTAGAGAAGGTAGATTTTACAGAATTATACCAGAATAATTTTCTTTAAATTGTCAGAAAAAGCATTTGAAATACTTTTTTTTTCAAAATAACCAAATTGACCAAAACTTATAAGCCTTTAAATTTTAATTAAATGAACTGAACAGATTTGCTTTTCTTGGATCTCACTTGATTCTTGTCAGATTATAAAGGTATGACTTTCTTTTTTCTTAATAAATGATTCATAATTGTTTAACATGGTTGTGTAGGGACAGCAACAAATAAATCACTAAATAACTTCTAACCTTTAGTACTGGACTATGTATGAGTATGAAACCAATATAATAAATAATTAATAATAAAAGAAAAATTAAACAATGAATAATAAAATTACTTTAAAATATAGATAAGAATGATAATTAAGAATAAAGAAAGAAAAAGTAAGATTATAAAAAAATATAGTTAAATAAATATGAAAACTCCCATCATGCACTGAAATAGGCATTTTTGCCACCAACAGAAACAGAAATCAAATTTTCTCTCTCTTCATCTTTGATAGCCTTCTGATATTGCATGTGACAACCACCAGATAAGCAAAATCTTTTTTATCTCTGTATACTTATATGTACTCTGAAATATACAAACTAAAGCATTTTATCATTTTTGTTTACACTTATTGTGTTGTATCTTGGATATGATTTGCTTGTAATTTATATATTTCCATTGTGGGGCTGATGAAGTTTTTTAACCACCCCCCTCCCAAACAAAATTATATACATATAAAAAAAAAAAAAAGAAAGAAGCACATTCAGACAAGGCTGACACATCAGTGGAACAACCACACAACAACTGTGTAATAAACCTAAGAGTTTTTTTTTAGATTATTGAACTTTTGCTACTTTTGTTATTACTACAATTTGGGGGGCTGATCCATTCTACAGCATTCCTCAGGGCATTTTCTTTGCTCATCAAGAAATGAATTGTAGAGGATCCCCATATATAAGATACACCAAATCACTTGTGTGACACAAGTTCCTCAGAAGAGAATTACTTGTGTGATGTGCATTGCACAAATTAACTGAAATGCTAAAAATATTTTCCACCATTTTTTCCAAGACCATTTCTTAAAAACATAAAAAGAACATAGATAGATGCCTCTCTTTTCTTATGGATTGTATACCTGAAGAAGGTTGTAGAATGGCTAAGTATTGTAGTAACAACAAAAAACGAGTTCAGTGCTCCTAGTCTTTGGTTGTTAATTATTCTTTTTAAAATTATAAAAAAGTATGTAATTAGATGGAGGTAAATTTTATAAAGTTATAGCTTTAGTTCATCTTAAGAATGGATTAGAGATCATACAAAATAACTGCTGAGCAGATTTGGTTCAAGGTGCATAACAAAAGACTGATGATAATAAAGAAGCCTATGATTCAAAACCAGGTAACAGGTAAGTGAGCACACAGCTCAAAAGAAAAAAAAATTGAACACTTTTTCAAGAAAATATAACATATTTACTAATCAATAAAATAACTTCTGGAAAGGGCAAAATGTTCCATTCACTTTACATGATGCAATACTGGAATTCAATGAAATAAGAAAGACTTCACCAGATAATAACAAAATATATTTTATGGATAAATACAAATATTGAAACCAAAATATATATATATATATATATATATATATATATATATATATATATATATTATCAAAAGAAACACAAAAACATTTTACCTGTTTTTTCAGATTCTCTAGTCGCTTTTCTTTCTGCTTTGCTATGTCTTCTTTGCATTTTTCTTTTAAGGCTTTCACCATCATCTTATGACGATCCTTGAAAACAGAAAGAATATTTTGTTATCAAATAATTTTACAGTTACTAATTCTATGTGAACAGTGACTATTGGTTTTCAATAGAGTTTGTTTTAACATATTAAAAACTTTATTTTGCCACAAAAATTAATATTATTCTTTAAGGTTTTAATGACTTGATCATTTTTAGCTTCTGATTAGACAGTCTGGATTTTTTAGCATGTGATCCATATCAACTGAAAAAGTTTCAGTATTTTAAACGGAATAATGTCTGAAATTCAGGTGTGTATTTAGGTTTATACAAGTATAGTTATTCAAACTGACATTATCAACTGGATTTATATCTTGTTAGATGCTTTCTTTGCACTTTTACAAGTATAACATCTCTAAACTGGATCCAAAAATTCATGTGGACTTGATGGTATCCCTGCAATAACCCTTAAGAAATATGCTCCAGTTCTCTTTAAACTATACGATAAATGCCTTGCTGTTCCTTGCTTTCCTGTTTGTTATAAATCCCCTTCAGTGGTTCCAGTCTTTAAGAACTCAGGTAAACCATCCGATCCCTCCAACTATCAGCATCTTAGCCCTTTACTGCTTTTTGGCAAAGTACTAGATGCTCTAATCAACTCTGAATTTGTTAAGCATCTCACCTTGCAAGGTCTTCTTTCTGATAAGTAAAATTGTTTTTTGCATCTTTAGGTCAACTGCTGATGTATTAACAGTTATTGCTGAAAGCATCCATCAAGCTTTAGATAAGAATGGTGATGCTCAAACTGTTGCTTCGGATATCTCAAAGACATTTGGTATGTTGATCTTCTTCACAAGTCAAAGGGTTATGATATTTGTGGACAAATTTTTAAACTGATTCAATCTTTCTTATCAACTCACAAAATGAAAGCCATTCTTCTTGATCTTTTTTACATTAATGCTAGTGTCCCCAAGGGCTTAGACTTACTTGGACCTCTTCCAGCCTCTTGCTTTCCAGTCAACTTTGATCTTCAAAAATTTAAATCAATTGTTATCTTCTTTCTTCTTAATTCCTGGTTTTTTCTTGCTCCCCCCTCTCTCTCTCCTTAAAATGTTTGATTTCCTCATGTTCTCTAACCCCTTGCATCTTAATGGCTTTATTGTCTTGCTTGGGTGAAATGATAAAAAAAAGATATATATATATATATATATATATATACATGCAATTTTTCTCTATATATTATGTATATATTATATATGCATGGTACTTATTGGAAAGCATTCAATATCAGTGAGAGAGCTAACATATTTAGTTGGATTGATGTGAGTTAGTGACACTGAGTTTCACACTATTTGTGATCATCAGACAAACTGTTTAATTTTTAAATTTTGGATTTATATATGGTTGTGTATATCAGTTTTTTTATGGCAGTGGAAGGAAAAATTGTCATCGGAACATCACTCGTATGTACGCAAACATACATACATGCACGTTCACTCATTGACATATGCAAACATACATACATACATGCTCACTCATTGCAGCTCACACAAACATAAACATATATGAACAGTGTGGGACTGAGCATATATGCGCACCCATGTGTCGATGTGTACATATGTATGCAATTGGTTGCTGTATTTAATGTTGGATTGTGTAGTGAACATCTTGTGTCAGTTGCAGTGTCAACGTGCAGACCATTTGTCTATTTTGTTGGCTGAATAATGTTTTCTTGCACACACATATATACGTATACACATGCATTCACACATCTTCTATCCATCTATTTTTTTTATGATGGGGTCTGAGTAAGACTATAGTAGGTAAAATTGCTATTGTATTTAATTTTTTTTTTTTTAATGCTGTTTTGTTATTATTTTAAGGCCAGTTATTTGCATGTTTTTGGGGATTACGCATATGTAAATGGTAGAAACTCCAATTTATAATACTTATTAGTATTTATGCTGGCGGGGAGAAGTAAGTATAATTGTGAACTGATATAGTAATGGTAACTGAGGTGCAGCAGCAATGGTAATTGTGATGCAGTAGTAATGGTGGGAGGAGTGGGTGATGATAACAACAATTGTAACAGCAAATAGTTATTGTAAAGTGGCAGAAGTGATTGTAGTAATGTTGGTGGAATGGTAATAATTATAATTATTATGATGTTAGTTTGAACTAGAAAATAATTGATGGTGTTATGATGTCAGTGGTTTCACTTTTCATGTTCATAGGGTGAATGGTGGTTTATGTAGTAGTGTTGGTTGGTATTTTTTTTATCCGTTTGGCATAAATTGTGATAATAGGTATTTGTTTTCATGTCTGCATTTAGAAATTATCTCTGATCTTATGTTTAGTAATTTCTTTTGTTGGGTATGAGAAATTATTGCTACCTTTTTCGTGTAGGCAAAGTAGGCATTTCTTTGTAATGTTGTTGTAGGCATGTGTGTTTTTCAATATTTTCCAGCTTATTCTTGGTGTAATATTTCTGTTTTTTAGATGCCATATGTACGTGGATAGTGTAGTGCTGTTTGAGTATTTTCTGTTGGAGAATGAAAGGTTGTCATTATTTTTTCTTTTCTTGAATGGTCCCCCAGTGGCACCAATGTAGTACATTGTGCTGTTGTTTGCACTTACTTTGGCTTTATATATTATATTCATTTGTTGGTAGTTTCCTTGGAGTGGACATGTTGTTTTATTTCTGCAGTTGCATTGAGATTCCATTGTTGTGTTTTTGCAGGTTGTTACTTTTTTGTTGTGGCTTTTTATTATTTGTGTTATATTTTTTGTACAGCTGTAACTGATTTTAACATTATGTTTTGAATATTTTTGCTAATCAGTTTATTTTAGGAAAGTGCTTTTTTTTAAGTTTAGGAATGTCCTTCCTATGTTTTGATGTATGATGGGTTAAACCAAATAATATTTCTTTTTCTGTTTTTGTGTTTCGGTTATGGAGGTGTGTATTGTAGTTGTTGTGTGTATCCACTTTTTTTTAGTGCTTTGTCATATGGCGTTTTCTTGTTATTGAAAATGTCTCTGTTTGATGAGTTTTCAGATAGCCTGTGGCTGATTGATATGGTCTGTGCATTGACACTGCAGCTGATGAAAAATGTTCGCTACACAATCCAACATTGAATGCAACGACCAATTGCGTATGGATGTATACATCGACACATGGATGCGCATATATGTTCAGTCCCACACTGTTCATATATGTTTATGTTTGTGTTAGCTGCAATTAGTGAGTGTGCATGTATGTCTGCATATGTCAATTAGTGAACATACGTGTACATATGTTTGAATATGTATGAATGGCGTTCCGACAACAATTTTTCCTCCCACTATCATAAAAACACTGATATATGCAACCATATATAAATCCAAAATTTAAAAATTAAACAGTTTGTCACAAAAAGTGTGAAACCCAGGGTCACAAACTCACATCAATCTAAATATATATATATATATATATATAATTAACCTAGGAGCCTATAGTAATTGTGATTACAGGCAATATACGATTATAATTATAGATTTGAGCATCCAGACAGGGAAAATTTAAAAAGCTTATGTTTCCCACACATGTTGCTCACACATATCACTGCCCTCCATTGTATAAAATGGATGCTTAAATGCAGTAATCTAATTCTTGGATGGATAACAATTGATACTTTAGATTTTGTGCAGGTTCATGAAGAATAACATTTTTTTTTAATTCTGACCCCTCTGCTGAAGAATTTGTGACCTTTGTAAGCAGAGCATTGTTCAGAAGGTTGTTTCTGAGTAAGTGACAAGTGCCATGTCATCTACGAACAGCAGTTCTCTGACCAGCTGTACCAAAGTCTGGAAGTAGGTCTAAAGACACTACATTAAACAAGTTGCCATTGTTACATAAATGAAAAGTACACTTTATTAATCTCCTCTATTTCAATATCCTGTTAAAGTATACTGAAAACAGTAGAGGGTGGCAATACAAATATATCAACAACAGAGAACATATTAGTCAACTGATATATATTTTTACACGCCAAAAAATTTATACAGTTTTCAGATGGCTGTCCTATAAAGCTAATATGGAAGAACTAAAACTTGAAAACATCTTAAATACTATTTCTAGCCAAGGTTTTAATTTAACAATATATTACACATTTCCTTTCTTTTTCAAAACTTCCAGACATTATCATGCAACTTACCATTTCTCTAAACTTTGGAAGAGTTATTGCTGCTAGCTTTCGTTTTGCTTCCATTTCCATCATTTCCTCCATTTCTTTTTGTTGTTTCATCACAACAGCCTTCTCTTCTTTTGCTTCTTTATATTTCTTGACATATTCACGGATTTCAAGCTTGAAAAAGAACAACAAAATGGAATTGATTAGCAATTCAAATTTTAATTTTAAGACCACATATTTAACCAAAATACTTTTTACCCAAAATGTGAATATTTTTTTAATCTTGCAAAAGGAAGAAAAGAGTAATTAGTTTATAAAGTTACTGTTTTGTCAATTTCCAAAACACTTCCAAAACTAAACTTCTGTCCATTAATCATCTAAGAGACACCACTCTACTTTCCATCAGTATATCTGATTCACTGTGCCTTCTTGAACTAACATTCTGAGCTGACATGATATGCAAAGACTATATTGAATCCATTGCTAGATCAGCTGCTAAGAAAGTCAGTTCACTGTGACAGTAAGACAATTTTTCTCTCCGGAATCTATCTTGCATATCTATAAGTCTACCATTCGCCCATGCTTAGAATATTGCTGCCATATATGGCCTGGTGCCTCTGCTATTTACCTGAAACTCTTTGATAAGATCCAAAGAAAACTCAGCAATATTATTGGTCCTGATCTGATGACTTGGGTTCAGTCACTTGCCCACTGCTATAAGGTCGCCTTTCTGTACCTTTTCTATAAATACTTTCATGGTAATTGTTCGGATGAGCTCTTCACTATGGTATCTGGACTATTTGAATTTAAGTGCAATACTAGACTAGTGATGAGACCTCATCATTTTATAGTTGAGCTAGCTAGATGTAGCTGTAACTTCTATGCTGTCAGTTTCTTTTCTCACACTTCTCGCTTGTGGAACTCCCTTCCAGCTCCATGCTTTCCAGCCAGCTTTAATCTGCAAGAATTTAAATGCAATGTCAATGGCTATCTATTGTCCTCCTGGTTGCTCTTTTCCCTTTTCACACATTACTAATGTTTTTATTCCTAATTCCCTCAAACCCTGTAACCCCTTGGGTACTAGTGGCTGTATTGCCTTGCTTAGGGTGATTCTGATTTAAAAATATAAAATTTAAAAAAAAAAAAAAATATTTTATACTGATGACTATAAAGATGATAACTTCTCCATCAATAAAATGGTCAGCTCACTGTACTGCTCCAGTAAGTTCCTGACTCCTCTACTTTTACAACAGCCAGATCCGGACAAAAATGTAGTATTGTTGTTATATTTGGGCGGGAGTTGCCAAATCCTCAACTTCCAGTCTTGATAAAGTTCAAAAGCATATCCGAGTCCTTGTAGGTGAAAAACTATTTTCCACCCTCCAACCTCTCTCTCACAGTTGGGATATGGTGAGCCTCCCAATGCTTTATTGCTACTTAAATGAAAAGTGCTTAAACAAACTACATTCTTTGGTACCGCCAGGTCTAACCTCCATGGCTAGAACCCACCATTCCACTTATATTGTAGCAAACCACCCACATTCCTTCGATATTCCATAGGCGAGAATTAACTTCCACTCATAGAGTTTCTTCCTGTGAACCACATCTCTGTGAAACCAACTCCCAAGAGGATGTTTCCCTAATCACTACAATCTTAATCTGTTCAAGTCTAGAGATAATTTTTATCTTCCCCTTCTATCTGTATAAACTGCCTCCTTAACATAACCCTCTATCTTGAGTGGCCCCCCGAGCCTTGTACAGGGTGAATCATACTGTAGAAAAAATCCTAGTTTCTATCTTCTTGCAACAAACAAACATTTAAGAGATATAAATGAAAAATTCTTAATTGCTTAATTAGACTTCAAAAATCTTAATAAGCTAAAAATATTGATATTAAATTGCATACATGAATAACTAATGCTACTGCTTTTTACATATGATGTCTATATTAAACAACACTACAAATATATACTGGAGAGAAAAAAAAGTAAAAATAACATTAATAATACAATAGTAAGGAATGTAATTTTTAGTCACAAACCTATCTGATGCACAAAAATAAAACAGCGATATGTATAAAACACATATTATGTATATGGTACGGCAAAAGCAATGCTCTTTTTTATTAACTTTTAATGAAACAGAAAATTAAATTACAGTAGTTTAAGATGGCTCAAGATGAACTATGGCTTACATGTTCAGGAAGAGTAAGTCTTAATTTCATGTTGAGGTGGATAGAAATTGTTATTAATGAACTATTACCAAAATAAAAAGAAAACTAATAAAATTTCCATTGGTACCTCTTTTCATGGACTTACTAAATTAGTGAATCTCTGTTTTAACTGAGTAAGGTGTTGCTTAGGTTCCCACCTTTGTCCCTGTACCATGTATGCCATTTTGCCAATCCGTTTTCTTATAACGCTATCCTCCCAGAATTCTTTTCCTCATTAGTACATTTTAAAAAACACTTTATCACCAGGTTTAAAATATTTATTTATATTATTTTGATTCCTTGATGTTCTCATCTTCATTCTGGTAGTAATTTGTTAAATAAAAACTTAATCTTCCTGGCAAACATCAACTGTACAGCCTACATTCCAGACACAGTGTTCAGGTTTGGTGTTATTTAGTAAACACTCAAAAATTGTTGTAGCATTACTTCATCTGACTCCTCTCCCTCTGACTATTTTAGTGCCCTTATCAACATACTGACAAACTGTTCTGCTTGTCCGTTTGATCTTGGGTGTTCTATTGCTAATGATTTGCAAAAAAACTTAAATTCACTAGATGTGAATTGAGTCCCGTTATCTGAAATGATCTGAAAAAATCTTGTATAGGAAAATTATCATTACCATGGTAGTCAGTCTTCTGCATTTCAATATTTCTGGCCATTTAGTGTAACTGTCAACTACCACTAGATAGTATGCTCCATTTAATGGTTCTGTGAAGTCTATATGTATTCTGGACCCTGGCATTTCCGTTTTTGGCCAAAGGATGAATTTTGATAGGCGGTGACTTCACTGCCAGAGCACAACCTCTTCATGATTATACTAAATTTTGGCCAGTAAGTATAACACCTGATGAAGGATTTCATTCTTGAAATTCCTGGATGTCCTATGTTTAGCATACATTTTTGCAATGATTCTTTGTGTACATAAGTACATCATTACATAATGAAAATGCATTATTTCCAGTAATATTTTTCCTTTAAATCTTAATTTCTTCTTCATTTTCATTATAAAGTCACTTTTTCTGACTTAGTTCTTATTTCTTCCAATGTTATGGACAGTTCTCTTACAGTTTTGTATAATACATTATTAATTTCATTTTCCGCCCTTATTGCCACAATTACTGTGTCTTCAAGTGGTCCACAGTATCTTGGTATTAGTCCAGTCAATCCGTTTGCATGAGTTAATTTTTTGGTTGGTAGAAACTCCATTCTATAATTATAGTTCAATGGGGTAGTTTCCCAGCACTGCAGTCTATTTGCTGTCGGAACAGCCTTTTTTGATCCATATATGGACACTAATGGATGATGGTCTGTCTGTAGTATGAATTCTCTACCAAGTATGAATTTGTGAAACTTTTTCATAGCAAATATGATTGCAAATACTTCTTTTTCAATCTGGCTGTAGCTTTTTTCAGCTGCAATCAATGATCTTGAAGTATGAGCTATTGGTTTAGTTGTTCTATCCTCATATTTGTGTAATATCACGGCTCCAGTACCCGAATCACTTGTATCTGATGCAACCACAATCTTTAATTTAGGGTCAAAATGAGCTAGTGACAAATCTGATGTTAAGACTTTCTTGATCGCTTCGGAAGCACTTTAACATTTATCTGTCCAATCCCATTTCACATCTTTCTTCAGCAGGTTATTCAGGTTATTCATGTTTGGTATATCTTATAATTTATATATATATATATATATATATATATATATATATATGATAGTAATTAGCAAACCCTAAAAATGATTGTAACTTTGTTACATTTGTTGGAGCAGGCATGTCTTTTATCGTGTTCACTCTTGAAGAATCTGGTTGTCTGCTGTTTTCATTGATAATTTTTCCTAAATATTTAAGTCTGGACATAAACTTTCCTTCACTTAAAACCATATTCTTTATTTCTCTCATATACTTTGTTACATCTTCCATATGTTGTTTTCAGGTCTTGCTTTTAATAAGTGCATCATCCAAATATGCTCGAGTACAATCCAAACTGACAAGCATAGTATATGTTATCTGTTGGAATATGCTTGGTGCTACCTTTATACCAAAAGGAAGTTGGTTGAATTTGTATAAATATCTATGAGAGTTAATTGTTAATAGTTTTGAGCATTCTTCATCCACTAGTACTTGTAAATAAGCATCTGACAGGTCCAATTTAGAAAAAAAATGACCTCCATTCAATTTGGCAAAAATTTCCTCTGGATTTGGTAACAGGTTTTAGATTTTCATTTAACCCCATTAAAAAAATCAGCACATACTTGGATTTTATTATTTCTCTTTTTAATGTAGACTGTTGGTGACGCACATTTGAAATAGTCTATTTTTGAGATCAAAACTAATTTTTCTAGTCTGTCCAATTCATTAATAATTGAATCTAATACCACAAAAGGTACACTTCTTTTTGGCTTAAATGTCGGTGTTAGATTCTCTTTTAACTCAAACTTAGCTTTTGCTTTCTTGCATGTCCCTAGACCTGCTAAGAAAACTTATGGAAAACTCTTTTTCAGTTCATTTTTCAATTTTTCAGTTGGCATATTAGTAGTAGCCGTAAGAACATTTATCTTGTTGCAAAAAGAGTTAATCGGAAGGTTCCCAAAGATCAAATAATGCAATCCAGTCTGTTCCAAACAAATTAGCAGTATTCTTTAATGCAAACACCACTGCTTTTTTTGTTTTTTCCCACAAAAGAAATGTTACAGCTGAATTCACCCAAAATGTTCAATCTCTTTCCTGACACTCCATACGCAACTTTATCAGATGTCAATAAATAGGGTTTACCCATTTTTCTACATTTCTGTTCATTTATGATAGTGATATCAGATCGTGTACCTAGTTGCAATTTTATTTTTACATCATTAATTTGCACATCTTTTGAGATGTCTTGTTAATTTCCCTTTTAGGCTTCTTATCATTACACCATGTATTTATCACGTTCGCATAAGTTTTATTTTTTCTCTATTTTTTGTATCTTCAACATGCACTTTTGTGTCCTAACCTCCCACATTTGTAACATCTTTTGTTTTTGAAAAAACAATCACTTTTAAAATGCTTACCTCCACAAACGTGACAAGTATTAGGTATTGAGTGGGGTTTATAGATTTTTTCTGTTCTGTTAGGAGTTGAAAAACTTTTGTAGTTTTCTCAGACACTATGTACTTGTAAATTGTCCATTTCCTCAATCCTTGCGGTATTGAGTTTCAAATTCACAATACGTTGACATTATTCTGCTATTTTCTGGAGAGTTAATTTGGAATCCCTGTCTCATTCAGAAAGTATCCTGAATCTTATCTCTGCATCCTTATTAAAAGTTAAACCCTGTACGAATATCAGGCATCTAAATAAATCAGGAGTTAATTCATTTAACTTGAATTTTTCGCATTCTCGATTCACGACTCCTGCGTAAGTGACAAAATCTTCATCATCAGACTTTACTAAGACATTGCCATCATGTATTAAATAATGAGCTCCTATCTTTAAAATTTTTTGATAGAATTAGAACAGTTTCATCAAAATTTATCTCTCCTGGCTTTTTCGGCAAAATATAATTCACATATTCTTCATGTTCCACGGGGGACAGTTTCCTTAATAATAAATAAACTTTCTTTTCATCATTCCAATGTGAACAATCCCTTTTGAAGATCCCTTCGTATCTTCTATAACAAGCTGGAAAAGTTATCCATTCTTCTGGATTGTACACAAATTCACTGATTGAATTAGCAAAAGAATCTGGAATGAATGAATCTGAAGTTTTTCCTTCCATGGTTTTGGTAAACAACTCAAAAAACTTCTGTTGTTGTAGTTGAAATTGTAATTGCTCTTTGTGTTGTTGTTTTTGTTGCTGAAACTGTTGTTCTTATTGTTGCTTTTGTAGTGCCAGCATTTGAACCATGATAGCTTTTAGTTCTTCCATTTTGCTGAACTCTGCTGAAAGAGTCCTCGTATAAGTTCAAGGAATCCTTGCAAATCCTTGTCACCACTTTTGTGATGTCAGCAAATACTTGTTGCCACTATTGTGATGCCAACAAATACTCATTGTCACTTTTGTAATGCTCGAGGTAGTAGAGACTTTATCATCGCAGATACAACTATAGCACACCCTTGAACAATGCTGGTGTCAGATGCCTTTGAATAACCTCACACTAATAGTACTTGCTCGATAATGCTTGCTTGAATAGTAATCTATATAGTGAAATAGTATAGTGAATAGAGTAGAGAATAGCAGTCTGTATAGTAATAGAGGATAGAATAGAAATAGTGATCCGTATAGTATAGAGGACATACTAGGAAAGGCAATCCGAATAGTAATAGAGGATAGACTAGAAATAGCGATCGTTAGTCATCAGCTACTTCCTATATATATGCATTTCCTCTATGGTCACATGCTCTACTTATTTCAATAATGGAATCACTTGTGTTTGCTTACTGGTAATCTATTTTCAAACTAAAGTGTCAGCAACAACACTTTATTCCTATATAACACTGTAATATGGTAAAATTTTATTTTCACAACCTGTAAGTGAAAAAGCATTTTGTATTAATACTGTATGTTAAACTACAAAAAGCAATTTCTATTAATACTGACAAGGTTCTAAAGCTACAAATAGCATTTATTATTAATACTGACAATATATTAAGCTACAAAAAGCATTTTCTATTAATACTGGTAAAGTACTAAACTACAAGAAGCATTTTGTAATAATCCTCCATGAACAATTCATTCACCATTTTTTTCATTTCTTTTTCCTTTTTGCGTTCTTCAGCCATTTTCTCTTGCAATTTCTGCTCTTCTTTTATCCCCTTTTTTTCTGCTTGTTCCATCTGTAATGGTAAAACAAAACAATAAGATTCTATCATGCAGGCATATCATCATGGATCCAAACATAATTTCATTTGGCATCAATGTCTTTTCTTGGTAGTCAGAAATATATGACAAGCAAAACTGTGAGCCATCCATTATAATATTTTAATTTTGTTGTTTATAAAAAAACACAAATTAAAATATTATTTTATATAAGTCAGTTTTAAATCATATGTTGAAATTTTACATTTAGGACAACTTAATATAAGCTACATGATTTTTCCTATAAAAAGTTTTGCAACAGTAGCCAGCTGCAACTGAAAGTGTATGTTCATATTACAACCACTATGTGGAAGAAATGTAATCCTTTATCATTTAACATGCAACAACAAATCAAATGTAATACAAGTTGTTTTATGGTGACAATGTTGAATGAAAAAAGATAAAGACAATGTCAAATAGTAGCAAAGAAATCTTTGAAGTAAAATTTTAAAGTAACTTTTAATATTTCCAATATTAAATGAACACAAATTGATCAAACTGAACTGGATCTTAAATATTGACAAACCAAAATGTAAGAGAATAAAATCAAAAATACTGTTAAAGATGAAAACAAAAAGACAGAAAACTGTAATTCAGAAACTGTATTTATTGTCTGACATGACAAAATGCAAACAGTCTCAAAGGAAAAAAAAGAAGGCCTTATTTTCTCAACTTACTTTCCATTTTTTTAATTGGATCAATTTTTCTTCTCGTTCCTTTTCAAGTTTCTTTTGAATGTCAGTTTGCTTCGCTTTCTCTTGTGCATCCCATTTCTCTTCTGGTGAGTTCAGTTTTTGTTTTTTCTCCTACCAAAAGAAAAATTTCAGAAAAAATGTTAAAGCATGGGCAGTGGAATGAGAAGAGTCAACCCTATAGATTAAATAAAAAGTTCAGCTTGGAATTCCCTGTAGATTCTCTGGATCAACATAAACCTGCATGGAGTCCAGAAGGTACAATGTCTGAAACACTGCGATAACAACAAAGATGAGAACAATATTCTACATGTAAACAGGTGTAAATAATGATAACTTCTCATGCCAGAAATTCAGATACAATAAAATTTACTTTCAAAAATGGCTGTCCAACTAATTTCAATATAAAATAGCAATATTCTGTTTCCACCCAGTTTGATTAGTTATAAAAATTTATATCTATGAATATGTGAAACACAGTGATCACCAGATCTTAGAACACTGAAGTGGACATGAGGGCACCACAATTTTACTTACTAAAATCCCTAAAGAAAATATGATCCTGAAGCTGGCTGAATGTGACACTGATTGTCACAGACAATTTTGGTTATCCAACATACTTGTAATGGTAGAAAGAAAAGGTGTTTTCTTCAACACTTTATTGTCTGTGTTTGGTACATGTGCACATTTACAGAAACACAAACACACTTTCATTTCAGGCTGAAGTGGGCATGCTATAAAAGGAATTGGAACAAAGCAATTTGTGCCACAGTGTCATCGAGAAAAAAATGTATATTCTATCTGGGAACGTTGCAACCCTGATGTCATTCCAGTTTACCCTAGCTATGTTGTATTTTGAATTATTGGAACATCTTTTAAAGGAAATTAAAGCAAAAAATATTCTATTCAACTTTCCCATCTTGTTTCTCTTACAATGTGCAGGTATTTTTTGACCTTGGTGTGCAATTCAATTTCATGCTGTGTTACTTATATCAATATATATTTACTTATATCAATATATATTTACTTATATCAATATATAAAAACATTTTATATAAATCAGTATATTTAAAATATATAAAAGTGCAATGGGAAAAAGAAAAGGTTAGAAAAGTGACAGAAAGGTGAAATTAATTTACCTCCAATTTGGATTTTCTCCACTTTTGTATGGCTTCCTTTTTTGCCTCATTCAGATCTAAATAGTGTTCATACCAATCAATATGAACATATACATCATCTTCAGATTTCCCAGGAAGTGCGGGCACTACATGGCTGAGGAAAACTGCCTTTTGCTAAAAGAGTAGAAAACCAGTACATATAAGGATTGTCAAAAACAATAAAGAATTTATCAATGTATTTGCCTGAAGACATTTTAGATAGCATTTTCAGCACCATTTCTATTATAAAAGATAGAAAATATATCTGACTATAAAGCATAAAGTCTTTCATTATGCAACAAGACTTTAAACTTGAAATCTTGTATTTCATTAAGAAATTGTCTGCATGCAGGGATATGCAAAAGTAGGTATACAGTAATGAAAAACAAAACGTGTACAAAATGCACTGCATTGATTATACAAACATATCAATAATAAACATATCAATCCCTCAAATGTTCACGCTCTTTGCTCCTGTCATCCCCACACTCCTCTTTACCTGAAAAATATTATTATTATTACTTATTAAAAATAAAAATTATAATAAACGGGCTATAATAAAAATTATGAAAATAAAAATAATAAAATGATTTTAATGAATTCTAGCATTAAATGAATCCTAGAATCACTATTATAATACTGGTAATACTAGTATAATACTGTATGTCTATTTTTGCATCACCCCTATAATCTAATTTATTCAAACTCCTGTTCTCATCTTGATTGTTAGAGATTTTATTATAGATAGACCGTTTCAACCATTTAGGCTGATATGGGATATTTGTTAATTATTGTATAATTTTGTCCCTATGATGCCAGTTCTTGTTTGTTCCTGCTGAACCAGTGTATTTTGTTTCACTGATCCAGGGATGGAACTTATAACCACTAGATAACAGTAACACATGTTTTCAACCAACTCCTATATCTGTTATGCTAGGAGTTTAATCCTTGGGTCTGGTAGAGGAATAACATACATTGGCTAAAGTATAGTAACTAATTGTGTTCTACAAATTTAATAATTGTGTCTTATGACATCTAATCACTTTATCTGCTGTGTAAATTCAGGATATAATACAGACAAAATAAACACAAGATCACTAACTACATGTGCTAAACAAGTGTTACAAAACAAACTTCAGATACAATATACAAAAACAAAGAAATGGGTTATAAAACAACACTATAATATTACATTTTGTTAGCCTTGGTGTTTTCCATTCATGGTCTTCTAAACAAAGCCCTGTAAATACATTGTGAGAACAACAATCACTCTAACACAATTTACAATAATTAGAAATTACTATTCACATTATTTACATTATTTGGACTGTTGTCCTCATCTTCATCGCCATATTTATTAAAACGTTTCGGCCATTGTATGCTCCGACCTTCTTCAGGTGGTTGGAATGTTGAACTGAACCCTTTATTTCGCTCACTGGGGTAGACTGTTCTAGTTCCATGTGCCATGTTTAATGGATGTCAGTTATCAGTTATCTCCTGTTAATTTTCCCTCTGAAAGTTCTCCACTGCCTTAACCGGGTATTGAACTCACACTCTTTGAGTCCTGTCACTGGGTCTAACTAACACCTTTATCCACTGTGCCATGTGTCCTTGAGAACACATGGCACACTGAAATGAAATAAATGCTTACCTTATACCTTACATAAAACTTAAGAAATGTTTCATGATCATATACATCCCAACCACCGCACAAGCCACCATTTTGCTGGACAAATTTCTGAAAAAAAAGAAAAAAAAAAATGTAGAGAGAAAAAAAAGCTCATGATTATTTCTGAAAATTAAATGCAAAATACATATTTATATATTAATACAATAAAATATGTAGTGTTACTGAAGAAACAGACACTGACATTCAACGATACTTGTTGAAACCAAACAGTGGATGTGAGCACAGTTAGGCTGGTGAGTAAATGCATTTCAGTGATGTGCATAACAAGTGAAATGGCTCTGCACAGTAGGAAACCCACAAAATGAAGAGGGTCTTGATCAGCACATCCATGTAAATCAGAGGATTATGACAAGGGAAGCTAAATGTTAGATTCAAAACACTGAAAATGATGAAGTAATGTAAGACTATAAAAGGACAAATCCTCAATCCTCAAAAAGAAATAAGGTTTATTTCACTCCCTTGCAGCCACCTAAGGGGAGTTTACTACTAGCCTGTGACAGAATAATCAGCAGTTTTTCAAGCAGTCTATTTGACTTGCAACACTTACAATTGGCTAGTGAAATGGATTTGCATGCTCTTTAAAGCAGTCTACTCAAATCAGAGTTATCTCTTTCTCTCCAATAGAAACAGCATGCAACACAGGAGTGCTTTGGTCAACAATTTGCCATTTTCTAGTGTACATTATCAGACAATATGTACCGAATTTGTACCAGATTGGTTCCAAAGATGTTCACAAAAGAAGAGCAAAAAGATGACCAAATACAAGTCTATCAGGACATGCTGAACTATGACAAGGCTGAAGATATACAATTACCTGAAATTTGGTGTCACTATTATTACTACTACTACGAAATGTAATTAACACAACAGTCCATGGATTTGTGGAATTTCCATCAAAGAAAAATTTCAAGACACAGTTAATAGTTGCTAAAGTGATTTACACTGTTTTTAGGTATTTATGGAGGTTAACAGATTGAGTGTTTGTGTGTATTTTAAGTGTGTACATGTTCATTTGTAACAAAGAAGAATCATACAAAAATTTGGTTCTACTAAGAACATTTATTCTTTTTATGTTAACTGTAATGAAACAAAATTCTCAAGGTCTCCTCAGTATGTCCAATTTCTTTTTCTTAGTTCAGAAATTAGGGTAAGTAAGTATAAGCATTGTATTCATGTACATGCACAAATCAACTTTGCACAGAGTTGGAACAACCAAAGGAAGGTTTGTACTTTACCACTGGGAGGTTTAAACATGGTTATGGAATGTGTGTTTACCTTTACTTTGTTCAGAAGTCAGGTTAAATCAGTATAAACAGTGTTACAATGATTGTGCTGAAGTCAACCTTGTGCTGAGTTTGAGCAACCACAGAGAAAGCTTGATTTACTTTATAGTTTGAGGTTTTGGGAGACACATGTGAGTGTCATATGTTGGAAAACAGAAAGAGAGAGTCTTATAATCAATGGACCTGGGAAACTGACATTCCCAACAGAAGCATAATTATCACTTGTTGCTACATCTTGGGGCAAGGGGGAGAAAGAGAGTGAGGCGGGTAATGTTTGCCTTTCTATAAACTTCAACAGTGCCACCTAACAGCATTTTTTGAAGCTAAGTGGGGGTAATCATATTTCTGGTTCCTTTACTCAGTAGCAGTGATTACACACTTATCACCATTGCTTGTCACTCATAGATCACTTGAAAAGCACTGATGAAATCTCTCAACACCTTTATGTTGTTCTATGAAGACTTCATCTGTTAAAACATAATTTAAGAAAATGATGGGTGAGCACCTTTTTTATATAATTTTTAAGTACTCAATAATTTTTAAAATCTTGGAAAATATTCTCCATAATCTAATTTTAGGAATGTAGAATTCAAACTTATTATAGTCATCACTTTTATTTTCTGATTATGTTCTGTATGGTCAACCACTTTCAAACAGGCACATTACATTATATTTTATATACATAAAAAAAAAAAATTTAATTTCTTTAAAAATATTGGGTACAAATGACTTTTATTGAGCTTTTCAATTTTTGATTTGTAAGTATAGTTTTCACCTAACTGGACTGAAGTAATGCTGAATTTTATACGATTTATGATATTATAAATTATTATAATTGAAATTTTTAAAAAATGTAAATAATTCTTGTAAAAATTCATTATTCATTAAATTTTTTTTTAAGACAATAGTGCTCTTAATAAATCTTATTTATAAAAGCAATTAAAAGCTTTTCTAATTAAATAATGTCATAGTTTTATTGCATTTTTTATTTTATAATTCAGAGCAGATTTTCAGTAACCGGGGGCCCACATTTCAAAAAAAAAAAAAAAAAAACAAAAAAAACTGATGATTTAAATTCTCCAAGAGTCCTGCTTTAACAAATAAAACAAATTTGGGGATTGCAATTTAATTTCTCAAACTTTCATGTAATCAAGTAAGTGTGTGTGTGTGGGGGGGTTAACATATCTAAAACAAAAAGATATTTTTTACCAAGATTTTCTAAAAGAAAAATTTCAAAAATAATTTCATTCATTTGTGAATAAGTCCTGAAAGTTTAATTAGATTCTGGCAATTATTTGATTTTCACAAGAATTTCCAAATCAATGTGTTTTTCACCTGAAAAAAGGCACTAAAACACTACTCGTTAATATTACATCAACTGTGATGCAAAAAAAAAAAAAAAAAAAAGAATTTTAACCAAAATTTCGAATGTGCTAGAAAGTATTAAAAAATTTAATAAATTGATAAAAAAATACTTTGGTGTTTCCTCTTAATACAATAAACATTTTGATGATAAAACTTTGTTTTTACTAAGTTTGGGGGCTTCTTTCATTATGCTATGCTGTTTTTTTCAGTGAGCAAGTGGAGATATGTATAATAAAAAAAAAGAAAAAGTATAATATGCTGTTTAGTTAGAGTTATTTCTCTGACAAAATTTTTCAATACTTTAAACTTAATATTTTGGTCAAATTCACAATGTCTGACAATATAAAAGTCTGACTATAAATTGTTTTTATATTTACTTCAATTTCAATGATTACACCAATTTAACTTTAACTTTATTTTTATTTAATGCATAATTGAATGAAAAAACTCCTATGTTATGCATTTCACTTCTGGGAAGGACGTCTACAGAGTTATATATCTTCCATAATGTTTCTTAAGAAATTGTCATGTTGCACACTGACTGACATCCACAAAATTAGAACACAGACCTAGTCAGATACAAATAACTACTGTAGGAACATCCTTTTTAATACTCAAAATACACCAATAAGAATATTATCTGAACAGCTTAGTGTTAACAACCAATCAAATCACATTTCTGACCAAATATATATAGAAAGACAAAACCAACAAAAGAATAAGAAAATATATATCTGAAATAGTAAAAGAATAGATATTACAAATTTAAAAAAAAAATTAAGGTCTCAGAAAAATAGCATAAATAATTTTTATTAATTTTGAATCTTTTAGCAGAATTAACAGTTTCAGATTTTAATTTTGTAGATCATTATATAGATTCATACACGATTATAAAATAAAATAAAACCATACACTTACATCAAAATTAGCCACTTCAGGGGGTAAATCTACTGTCACATCTCTGGCTGATGACAAAGGTTTCTTGGTACCTGTTGATACTGGTTGTGTCCCTTGAACTTGCTGTTCTACTTTGGACCAAGTTTCGTATTTCTTTTCTAAAGCCTGAATTTCGAGAAAAGCTGATTTCTCTTCCTTTATAAGCACTTCAAAACTGCAAGATAAACAGGTGGAAACATGGCGTCATTTTATGTTATATCTTTACTAAAAGATTCTTGTTTTGAAATTCCAAATCAAAACAGAAATTTATTGAAATATTTGATGAATGTAGGATAATAAATTTGATATCTTAATAAAGTTGATTTCCGTATTTGAAATACTAGAGTTACTTACCTTTAAAAGGAGTTACTACCCTTGACAAGAACAACCGCAACTTGTCATTTCATTAGATAAGGCATCAGTGTTACTTACAGTTTTCAGTCTTAGGAACGGTAATTTATGAGCAAATAATTATATCCAATACAGAACCAAAAGGATATACTGTGAGTAAAAATCCCAATGATTCTAAGAGTACTAAACGTAGTCTATCAGTATTCAATATTTTTGTGTCAGTTCTAAAGCTTAAGGGGTGTTGGGTCAAGAATCACTATTATACAGGAATATAAACTTAAAATAACAACTGGAAATTGTTCCATCTTGAGGCTTGGAAATTATGGTAAGCTTAACTGATAGTATTAATCCTAAAATTTCAAAGTGCAAAAATGTGCTTTAATAGAAAAATACTTATATAACTGAATATGTTTTACAAAAAGATGCATAAATGATCTCATCAGTTACAAATTACAGACAATGGCAGAACTAGAGACTTCACTTTATTCATTTTCAGTTGCAATGATGATCCTGTGATGAGTTTATAAAAATTTTTTGTTGTTCAGAAATTACAGTAAATGACATTGCCATGATAAGACAAGGTTATCTTCTTTAATGAAGTTTAAAAGAACAATGATTGCTGGAAAAGAACTCACTGTTTTCTTTGATTCTCTTTAAATTCATTGATCTCTGTTTCAGCCTCCTCCATGATCTCTTTTAATTTGATGACAACTGGAGAAAAAAAATATTAATTATTTCTAATCTACAAATATACACAGCAAGTATGAGAAAAGAAAGCAACAGGAAAATTTGGTGATCTCACAACGTTTTTTTGTAAACACAGCAGGAAATATATATTTTATCTGGGAATTCTAAATTAATATCATAATTCACATTTTATATTATGTAATTAAAATTAACACTGTTAATAAATGCAAAGAAATTTGTTTTATATACAATAAAATCAAATCATGAATAAGTGTTCAACTTCACTTTCAGACATATAGAAGAAATCCAGAAGCAACATGTAAAAGGGCCTCAACTCGGATGTGTCTGGTGTAGATAAGAATTGTGTTCTCTTGTTGACCATTTGGAAAAAGCAGTTTCTCAAGATCACTACTAAATTTGCATGCCAGTTATTGTGTTATATTTGCATGAGAATGATGATGCTTGGTTGTCAATGAATTATAGCCGATCTGTGGCAGTTTTAACAGATATGTAAGAGTAACGCTTGTTAGTGTTGGGGCGGCTTTTTATTTGACAGTGACAATTGGGAGAGCACTATTTGTCAAGCCTTTTTTTTTCTAGTCGCATACATGTATTATGTATATACAGTGTATTGAAAATGAAGAGCTATTACTGTTCATGTGCTAGAAGGAAAACAGATTCACTAAAGGTTAAATACATTTTAGGAGACAATTATAACAAGAAATGTCTTTTGTCCCAAAACTGGTTTCAACAAAAGCGTTAAATCAAATTTTTATTTTGTGGAATGGTTTTCACTGAAAAATCAAAAGTTATAGATAAAAGAAAGATAACCTTTATACATGCATTTTTAAATTAAGTATCATTTAAAAATTGCACTTGTTAATTCAACTGTTGTTTATTTTACAAAAACACATCCCTTTTTTTCCATAAATTTGTCACTGAAATTTTTATTTTCATAATCATGGCTTACAAACAGCATATTGAAACACTGATTCCTGTATGATCACCAAAGTTAAACAACATTGAGCCTGCTTAGTACCTAGATGGGTGACCACTTCAGAGTACCATGTGCTGTAAGCTGGGATGTGTATGTGGTGTAGTGGATAATGGCTCAGAATTGTTAATCAAATTTCAACTTCTGAAGAAGATCATCATTTACCTTCAAGATATCTAAGGCAACAGTTCAAGCTTCACTATTCTTATCTAAAACAGCAAGTATGAGAAAATTAAGTATCATTTAAAAATTGCACTTTTGAAATTTGGTGCTAAGTTCTAATTCACATTGGGTTCATTATATTCACTTATGGGAGAAGTATGAATTCACCTTTACTCCCCCACCCCAGTTATGAGTTAATTATTAAGATGTATAGCTAAACCATTATCTCAAAAAAAATTCTTACAATCTGAAGATATTTTAACTTTAAATAACCTGAAAAGGGTTGATAAGCCATAAAAAAATGAGTGAATGAATCAATCAATTTATGTAATAATGTTGCTTAATATTTTGGTTTCATTCTATAAATATTCTTTAAAAAGTAGTAAAAATGACAAAAAACAAACTTATATAATTTAACCTATCCAAAATAGATGTGTAAATAAATTAAATTTTTATAAAGTGTTTTGTATTCATTTATATTATTTTTATTTTTTTATTTATTTTAAAGACTGTTTCCTGGGTTTAAATGTTTTCAGCTTGTTGTCAATCATTCATTATTGCAAATAAACAACAATCAAATGAACCGGTGTAATTTTTAAGAAAAGTATTACGTCAGGTAAAGTTATCTCCCTTTAAATTTTTTACATTTTGATTTTTCAGTGAAGTGAACCAGTCAACAAAGTCAAGATTCAATTTAACACTTTCAGTGAAGCCACTTTTCAGACAAATGATATTCATTGTTATGAATTGGACCCATATATTTTATGTTCCTTCTGGAAACTTCTTGTGAAGCATTACCATGTGATGTGCATATAACTCTATTCATGGTTTCTGCTTTCATCTCTAAATTTTATCAAAACATGCATACTTGATGGTTGTCCAAGAGAAATATGCCCCTGAACTGGCACCCATTCTCTCTCAGCTCTACAGTAGATACCTTACTGTTTCTTGGTTTTCAGCTTTCTTATGTAGACCCTGTTTTTAAGAACCTTGGCAGACCATCTGACCCTCTGAACTATTAACCTATTAGTCTTCTGCCTCTTTTTGGCAAAGTACTAATCAACACTGAACTTTAAGATCTTCTTTCACATAAACAATTCTCTAGGTCAATTGCTGATGAGTTAACAGTTATTACTGAAAGTGATTGTCAAGTTTTAGATAAGAATAGTGAAGCTTGAACTGTTGCCTTAGATATCTTGAAGGTAAATGATGATCTTCTTCAGAAGTTGAAGCATTAAGGTATTTCTGGCTGAAATTTTTATTTGATTTAATCTTTCCTATCAAATCGCAAAATAAATACTGTCCTGAACAGCCTCTTTCCTAGATCTTTTTTCATTAATATGGGAGTCCTACAGGGCTCTATCTGTGGATCTACTTTATTCCTAATTTTCATTAATGACCTTCAATGTCATCAACTAAGTATCTATGCTGATATCAAAACTATTTCCTCCTGTCTTAATGGTAAGTCTGATAGTCTGATTAAGGGCAAATTGGCAGCTGACCTTGAAAATGATCTATAATCTATTGTTAACTGGGACAAGAAATGGCTTGCTAATTTTCATGGCTCCAAAATAAAAGTGCTCTCCTTAACTTTAAGGTAGTCTTAGAGAACCCTTTCTGCCTTCCATCCAGGAGAGCAATTCATTGCACCTTCTCAGTTTAACATTCTCCACTGACATGAAGTAGAACGATTATATTGAATCACTTGCTAGGAAAGTTGATTCAGTGTTATGCTAGACAGTTTTTTTTTAATCAGAATTTATTCTGCACCTTTATAAGTCTACCATTCATTTAGGCATTAAATATTGCTGCCATCTCTGGTTTGTGCTACTGCTATGCATCTAGATATTCTTGACAAGATCCAAAGAAGAATCTGTAATGTTATCAATCCTGACCTAGAATTTGGGCTTTGGTCATTTTCCCATTGTAGTAGCATAGCTTCCCTGTACATCTTCCTATAAATATCTTCATGGTAATTGTTCTGATGAGCTGCCTTCTCTGATACCTCAACTTCATGAATTTAAGTGTAGTACTAGATTAGCAGTTAGGTCTCAACATCTTACTGTTGAAATTGGTAAATGTAACTGAAAGTTCTATTCTCATAGTTTCTTTTCTCGCACTTCTTGTCTGAAGAACTCTCTTCCAGCTTCTTGCTTTGTTGCTACGTACAATCTTCAAAATTTTAAATGCATCATCAATTGTTGTCATCTATAGCCTTGGATTTTGCTGCTTTATTGTACTTTCTCCTCAATAACATTTTTCAGTTTCTTCATACTCAGTAACCCCTTGCATCTTAGTAGCTTGTCTGAGGTGAAATGATTAAAAAAGATATATGGCTGCAACCACACCAATTGATGCTGTTGCAGTTTCAGCACTAAGTGAATTTTTATGGGGGCAGACTGCTAGCCTGATTCTCAAGTTAGACTGTTTTACCAGACTAAATGGCTCCAACTTCTCTACCATTTAGCCATAACTGGAGAAAGAAATTGATTCATCCCTTTCTAAAGGGCATTAGTATAAAGTGAATGCAAACTTACTTCACTGATTCTAATCTCCATGCTGTTAATGATCAGGCAATTCATACCTCACAACTATTTCAGCCAAAATAAATAAATAAGAAAATGCTCACATTCAGGTGATGGACGGACATTATTTAATTCTTTCCGAAATCGAGCAACCATGTCTTTAATTTTTGTCAGGTGGTGATTTAGTCTCGTCTCTGAGGAATAAAAATCAGAAAAAGTATCAGAAAAAACAGGAATGAAAATTGAAAATTATTATAGCAATTTATCAAAGTAGTGTCTCTTATTTAGATTTCCTCAACAATTATATCTATGCAAATATAAATGTTAAAAATTACTGTGAGTTTCAAACTTTTTGTTTGCAACTGTTTTCTGCTTTACACTATCAGAAAAAACAGACCCTCTAAACAGATAATACACCTGAAAAAAAAAATCATATGGCAGATCAGCTGAAATAGAAGAGCATAATAAGAGAGCATAAAAATACCACCACATGATTATTTTTTTTTTTTTTTACATACTTTCAGAATTCACTCATTGAATGTTTCTGACAAACACAAAATATTTCTTGCAGAAGACATCTTTAGGCAATGTCTTATTCAGAGACCCTGAGGTATCGCCAGATTTAGTTACTTCATAGATTTTGATACATCAGCCAACATAACAACACAAGTAATAGATGAACACAATATATTGCAGTTGTGGGAGTTTTTCAACATAATCATAAAATTTATACAATGGAAGACTACATATGCACAAATTTCTTTATATTATAATCTTGAATTTTACCCTTACGGAATACTTTAAGGTAGTCTGTAAGATACATTATTATTTAGAATGAGTGGCCATTGTTAAATGTAAATAAATGGCAGAACTGCCCAACAAACAGAATTTATAAAAAAAGTTTTCAATAAACAATAAGAAGAAAATAAAAGAAAAGAACAGGGCAAAAAATAATAATATAAAGCAAACAAGCAAACAATATATGCAAGACAGTAATAAGACAAAGCAACAATATTATGGTAAAAAGTTCAGAAACTAAGAATTGGGGTTGACACTAGAAAATTCGGATAAGTGAATGCAGAGTTCTGACTTCAAGACAAGACAGACTGGGACTGTGTCTGTGAAACCAAGAACTGACCTATTTTATTGGCTAGAAAGAAATCCCAGCATGCATTTGTGTGCTTTTTCCTATAAATTAGGGAATGGGGAAAGTGTTTTGCAGTCATTCCCACTATTGGACTGGAACCAACAGTAAAATATGCAATATTGACAAGACCGTAACTTGCATTTCTTATTACAATTACATAAAAGCCACTGAAAGCAATCATTAATCTCAATATCAAGTTACTTCTTATTTGTAGAATTAATCCAATTATTTACATATAAATAAGGGGACACTAATTTGTAACTAGCCAAATTCCAATTACACTGAAAATTTAAAGGAAGCATTATTTGTACTTCTTCTAATCCCTAATCAGCAAGCACCTACAATTAAATATTTGAATATGCATTTCTTAACTTAGAAAAATAGTTTTTGCAATAATGTGTGAAAATGTTCATGATGGGAGACAAAAGGAAAAAAATAAATGAAAACTTGAAAAATTTTCATATAATGATACTCATAAACATGAATATGTTTATTTTGTAAAAGAACGTATTATATATATATATATATATATATATATATATATATATATATATTGTAAAAATAAAAGTAGCATTATTTCTACAGCAATTTCTAACATTTTTGTGTTTTTCCAGCTTTCAATTTTGACATGCAAAAATTGGATCATTATTATCAGGGTGAGCATGAATGCAGATCCTACACCGTTATTATTAAGTTGCAAATTGAACTGAAAATTGCTTTATTTTTCAAGTTGTAGCTTTTTAAGAATTAACCTAAAAGAAATCTTGCTATGTGCCATTTTTTTGTGTGTTATGGTAAGAAACAGAATCACAAAGAGAAATCAGGCCATTCATTATAATACAGATTATTATGTATGTGCAATAACTATTTGCTTAAAAGAAAATCTATTTTAAGTACATAATTATATTTCATATACTTTAATTTTTATATTTTAAGACTGCAAATTTCATGAAATGGTTAGAATGGAGATAAAGATTTTGAACTAAATCATAAAGTGTTGTATGAATCAAAATAATCAAGCTTAATGTTAGGCAAGAAATTTGTTTTAGCAACTCACTTTCTACTTTTAAATCCTCATTCAACTTTTTCTCTTCTTCTTCCAAAGGCAGGAATTCTTTTCGGAAGGAGCACTTCCTACTGAACAAAAGAGCATCTCGATCTCTCTGAATAGCTTGGTACCTGAAAACAATGCATCATGTAATAATAAATTCTATATAAATAAAAAAAAATGATTGCATTTTTACAAATAATAGATAATTTCTGTTTAAAACAGAGTTGTCATTATTTGCATTAGAGTTGGACAACAAAAATGAAGACATTAATCTGACTGTAAATAATGTAAATAAATAACACAATAGGTGTCATTTGTATTTGGTCCATATTAGAGATTGATTGTTCAGTTGAAGTCCTTTGTAATCCATATCCTCTTGGGGCCAGTTTAAACTGACACCTTTTTTTTCACACCAAGCAAGGTGACAATGCCACTAGAATGCATGTTGTTATAGAGAGTGAAAGTGAATGAGAATATGAAGATTGAAAATGGAGAGGATTAAGGAAAGAGCAGAAAAGGAACAGGGTTCCAGTAGACAGAAGATGGTGATTGACATTACTTTCAAATTTTTGAAGATTGTAGTTATGGAAGCAAGAAATCGGAAGGGAAGTGAAAAAAATGTTAGAATATAAATGATGGTTGCATCTTGATAGTTCAACAGCAAAACAGCGAGACCTGGTTGCTACTCTAGTAGCATACTTAAATTCATGTAGTGAAGGCATCAGGAAAAAGGCTTGTCCAAGCAATTGCCATGAAAATATTTGTAGAACAGATAGAGGGAAGCCATGTCACATTTGTGAGAAAGTGACTAGAGGTAAGATGCCTGGTCAAGATCAAAACTATAATTCTAAACTTTAATTTTGGAAAGTGAAAATTTCACTGAAATAAGTTGGAACATTTCCAGGTTTTCATCTGAAATCAAGAAAATGCAAACTTTGAGCAAACAGGTCAAAAGAAGGCATCAGTTTAAAGTGATGCCAAGAGGATATGGATTAAAGCAGTTGTTTTGCTCAAATGAAATATGGGTAAGATACCCGACTTACGAAACAACAAAGATTAAACATTTAACTGGCTCCCCAAAGTAAGGATTCATCATTACTGGAATATATGCATACATGTATCAATAAATATATGTGTATGTGTACACACACATTGGAGGTAATTTGTTTTATTACCACAAGATAGTAAAAGTAAGTTATCTCCCTTGGTTTAGTAGGCATGGTGTTTTGAAAATTGTAGTCTGATATGCCAAAAAGATCATTCGGTTTGTTAAAAAAAATTTAATTTTTATTTCTATTTTCAACATTAACATTATATCGAACGACACAGTCACTGCTTTGTTGCCTTATATGCTACCACCTTTTACATAAGTACATAATTCCATCTGCTTTTTATCTTTCTCAACAATGGCTTCAGGTGCTGTTTGCAGAATATCTTCATTGCATTTACATTTAATAGTACAGTGTAACCCGGATATAAGAAACCCGGATATAAGAGAGATTTTAGCTGGTCCCAAAGTGTTCCCATACTTACCTAAACAAAATAGACCAAACCCGGATATAAGAGACTTCTTCTCCGGTCCCAACAACTCTCTTATATCCGGGTTACACTGTATATCACATAGAAAAATCTAATTTAACTGTTTTACGTTTCACGTAGCTGATGTGGAAGCTGCCTATCAAAGTGATTTACATAAACAAGCTGATGCAAATGATTTTCAACACTTGAATTGAATAATTTGGTTTATTTTTCTATATATTATGACCTGCAAGAGCCACAAAATAAATAAGAAAAGAAAAATAAAGTGGATCAGTTGCCAAGGATGTGACCTGAGTGCCACAATGATAGTGTATTTTTCTCTCACAGGCTCAAAAACACATGAATAAGAAAACCAAACAAAAATGTAAAGTGCAACAAAATTTTAATCATACATAAAAAAATTTGAAACAAAGAATATATGACTGTTAAAAATGTATGCAGTCTGTGCGATATGAGTATGAAAAGAAAAAAAACACTTGGCTTTTTCAGTTGATTGAAATCAAATATATTTTTTTCTCTTTCTTTTGTTCTATCTTTCTCCTTTTACTTTTTTGTTTTTTTTTATACAATATTTAACATCTTATTTTCTTGTGGAAGTAACTTTTATATTTTTAGGGTTTTATCTTTTCTTTCCTCTTCACATGTGCAAGAATGTTCTATCATTGGGTTATTCTTCATCTCCTTTTCCATTGACAGTGTTCAATCCTGAGCAGTGGTCATTTATGCTTCTTTTGCATAAGTTTGATTCCTTTCCATTTAAAAATGATCTTTATAGTGTTGATCATCACTGATTTCACTGAATTTTGTGTAGGCCCATTTAGTCAAACAAGTGTTCTCTTAACTGGGATTTTATATGAGTTGAGGATGGAATTTGTTCTCTTCATTTCAATGAACCCATTTGCATGACAATTTCATGGATGGTCTGATCTCATCAAGTTTCATTACCCAACTAGTTGCATTTCTTTTACATGCAATTTTGAATATCACGTCAGATGACTCCATTTGCATAGTTATTTTTAGCATCCATGCGGCATGGTTTCTAGGGGTTAATCCTTTTAAACTCCACAGACTTTTGCCTGACTGCTTTTAGCTTGCCACAGTGAGAGAGGATAATTTGTGATAGACAGAGAAAGAGAGGGTAATAGTCATAGACAGAGAGTGAAAGTTCACTATAACAACTTAACTTCCCTGGATTTAGTGAGTTTTAATTCAGAGGTGTTGGAGTAGGATCATCACACATGTCATATATTATTTTCAAATATCTTCATTTGATCACTATCACCTTCAAATAGTTTACATGACTATGGAACTTCATTCAATTAAAAAAATCCTCTGAAGTAGAAAATTTTGCAAACCACTTTTGATACATTTGATTATTTGTAAATTGCAAAATTCCATTCTTTTGGTGATTGACTTGCATTTTAACTTTCATAAAATAAAAAATACAATGCAGAAAATATTACTTTCTTCCATTTGAAGTCAACAAAAATATACCAATTTTTACAAACAATAAAAAATGAATATAATGGAAGTTTCAATGACTGCTGGCACAATATAATCAAAAGTAATCAGTTTTAATAAACACTTTTAATATCATCTAACAGTAAAAAAATAAAATGGGATAAACTTTTCAGACTAACAATTATTATTATATATAAAGCATACACCTGAAAAAGTATGTTTAATCTGAAATCATGTTAAACAACCATTTTGAAAAAACTTTTAATGTTTTTAGCTAACTGAAAGAAGTGAATTTTAAATTCATACTATTTGTAAATTTTAAGTAAACATTCTATCCAAGGAGTACTTGAAAGTAAAACTCAATATGCTCACTTTTAACATATGAATTTGGTTTACCAACCTTTATTTATACCAAAGGATTGTATTATTTTCATGATTTTTTTTTATTCTTTTACTAAATGTTCAATTAGTACAAAGCCCAAGAGCCACACAAGGTAGAGGGTTACTAAATGGAGTTGTTGTATAGAGATAAGAGATGAGGGGAAAATAAGTGCATATTATGAGGATATGCTTGATAGATAGCAGTTGACACTAGACCTGAAAAGGTTAAGATTGTAGTGTTCTTACCAATGGAATATAAAATGAATGAGGATTGTCTGGTCCTGTGTATATTGGATGGCAAGCCTGAGCTGTAAATGTCTGAACTAAAACTAAGGAATGTAGTGCGTTAGAACATTTTCTATGGAAAGAGTGATAAAGTAATGAGGAGCTTGCAATGTCACATCTCTGGCAACATGATTGTAGGGTGGGAAATACTTTAATGCTTACAAGGCTGCATAAACTCTTTTGCACTCTGTCAAGGCTGGAAAGATAGGATTGAGTAGCTCCAGCTCAGATATGACAGAAATACTCCATTTTTTATTTGATCTGATTCTTCACAATCAGAATTACTAAAGAACTGCTGGAGAGCCTTATTTCTAGTTGCCTCATATAGCTTTTCAAAAATGATAAAAATCAAAGTTTTATATTTGACTATTTGAAAACATCACATTTTATAATGAAAATATGCAAGTATAAGTATCTAGTCAAGGAACAATACTGCAGTGAAATAAATTATTTTGAAAGTGGTCCGATAAAGATAACTTCCTTTACTTTTTTATATTAGGAAATTCTTAGGAGTTGAAAACTTTTATTACATGATACTTTCTTTGCAGCACATTGAGAAAAGAAAACTTACTGAGTGCAAAGTTTTCGCAATTCTTTCTTTAGTTCTGCTTTTTTACTTTCTTCTACTTTCTCCCTCCACTGCTGAATTGCCTCGTGTGATTCAGACTGCAAAATAAAAATTAAAGAATCAGAGCAAGATTATTACATGACTTATTCAAATTAACACCATCATCTTTGTTGTTTTTATCATATTATTTGTACTGATATGCTCTTCCACCTTCCTCAAGTGAGTTTTGCATCCAGTCATCCATAAATAATAGCCAGTAATTTTTTCTTCATCTCTTAAACAGAAACAATTCACAGATATGAGAGTCAAGATTTCATGATTAAATAATCTTAGGGTAAACTGAATATATATATATATATATATATATATATATATATATATATATATATATACATATATAATTATAATATATCACACATATAGTGCTGGTGTCAGTAAAACAGTGCTCAATGTAATATAAGTTCATACTTAGCAACTGAAGAGTCGTGTTAGTGGTGAGGAATAGTATATATATTTATTAATATATTAGCCAAATTACCCATGCCTTGCTGTGTGTCACACAATTATTTTGTAAGAAAATGATGATTTATTTTAAATCATTGTTATAATTTGTGGAGAAAAATGATGCATTTCAATATTACTCAATGATCTTGCCGATGTGAGCTCTATCTTTTTGGCTTTCTCCTTTTATATTTTGGATAAGAGTCATTCTATTTAATTCATATTTAAATTGAATTTAAATCAAAGGGAAAAACATTTTCTTGTGCTACCGGCAGGAGCCACTTTGATCAAAATGAAATATACTTATCCAAGTATCCTAGGAGTCATACCCTTGTTCAAATTTAAATTTAATTTATATCAAAGGGAAAAAAATTTTCAGTGGGTGGAGGGTTGTGCCACCTGGGGCGCCTTTGATCAAAATGAAATATACTTACCCAAGTACCCTGAGTAATGTAGTTTCAGAATATATATATATGCTTATGTGGGTCTATCTCCAAAAGCCTAGGAGGAGCTCAATAACAAACAGATAGACAGAGGCTACAACTTTATATACATATATAATTTAGCATTTTGTCATCCAGTAGAATTTTATTTTAAATTTGATGATCATCATAAAAATCTCATTTGAAACACATATTGAATTTTTTTATTTATTAATCCAACATATTTTATCACTTTAAATGTTATTTTTAGTGGAACAATATGTGCTCTTCAGCAAAATTTGGACCTGTGTTGCGTCCCACTGGGCAGAGGAAATCATTGTTAGATTTGACATGCTTTAATTGACTTGGTTACAGATTTATTGAGTATGGTTTATTATAGCCATGGTTTATATATGGTATAATTTACGAGTTGCCTGGATGTTTAAAGAAGTAACAGAGTTGATGAGTCAAATTTTTTCCTGGATTTCAGCATGTTGATCTTCATAAGAGTTCTTGAGCTGAGCAATTTACTGAAGTCTTGGACAGATTTAAGGGATAGGTCTGAATCAACAAACAATTTGTTCTTGCTTTGAGAACTGTCAATAAGATCAGTGGCAGAGTATCAACAAATAAATCCATGATAAAAGCCAATAGCAAGGCTGAAAAGCTGAATAAATGTCAAGACCATTTTAAAAATCTCTTGGGAAATGTGCCTGATGTTTTAGATACTGAGGTCAAGCAAATCATTGTACATTCACTTCACATTAATTCTGGAAACTTTACAGATGCAGAACTTAAAGTGGCATTAAAAAGCACCAAAAATAGGAAAGCAGAAGAACTCAATAACATTCCTCCAGAGATTTGGAAGACCCAGGATTTCTACAATATTCTACTACAACTCTGTAACACCACATATGATAGAGAAGTCATTAAAAGATGGACAGGAGGCTGAAATATTGGTTCCTATACAATCACTAAAGTTAAGCAATATTGAGTCTGGGTAGTACCTTAATGGGTAACTGTTTGGGAATACCAGGTGCTGTAAACTGGTATGTGCAGGTGGTGTAATAGATAATGGCTCAGAATTGTTAATCAGAGAACTGAGTTCCAATTCCAGTCAGTTTCAGCATATTTCCTTATATGCAAATACCCTTGGGAAAGGTATGAATCCACCTCTTCTCTCCACAGCTATGGGTAAGACTTGTAGAATCACACCACCACCATTACATACACACAGTGTATAGAAATGCAACAAGCATTCATTGGTTAATCTACTCAAAACTAGCTCACTGATTGATCAGTTCTGACCAATCAAACCACCTGCATGCGACAAATCTGTTTTCCCGCGCACAAGCTTCTGAGCCTCCCACATGATACACAGCCATATATAAACAAAACACGAATAAGCTCCCTTGTGTTCTCTTCATTTTCTCATTCATCTTAATCCTTGCTGCCAAGATGTAATCTTCAAGAACTCCCATCTTGACCATGCAGTCAGATGTTAAAGAACATTACCATTTCACGCAAGTACAACTCTTAACTCTTCTGAACTCTTACCAAAGTTTACAACTCACATTTCCTAACATGCTAAAGGAACCTTATTCTTCTAAACTACAATTTAATAATTACTTCATCTTATGAGCTCAAGTACAAATATCTCCAAATCTAAGAGACATAACTCTATCAAACTTTCAGCTTATATGTATGTACACCAAACACTAATAAATTCAATTGTTATGTTTTGAATCATTACGTTCAGTTTTGTATTTTATACTATGTACTATTTTACGTCAAATATAAAATTGCATTGCATCCACGCATTGTCCTTAATCCTGCCTTTCCCAGCCAAAGTTAAATATATATAGTACCAAGCATCACGCCTACATAATGGTGACAATCCGCTACAGACTTGTATCACTAAATGATTATAATCTACAAAAAAATTCTTACAATCTAAAAATAGTTTCTGACTTTAAATAACCTTCAAAGTATTAATGAGCTGTAAAAAAAAAAAAAAAAAAAAAAATCAATTAACAAATGTCAATATCTGCATATATGTTTTTTAGATTTTCTCAAGTTTTTGAACTTTTTTAGAAATCTTTTGTGGGGAGGGAATTTTTTGTTCAGAAATACATGCCCAAACATTTGGGGATAATAATCGTCTTAAAATAAATGAAGAATATAAATTGGTATATACCTTTATATTGCAAACTATCATGCAAATTTTTGTTTTTTAATAAAAAGCATATATCCCGTTGTTTTTTTTTGTTTGTTTTTTTTTTTTTTTTAAATCTTTTGGGAAAAATAACTCTGTTTTCATATGCAGAAAAGCTAAGTCCAATTATGTAAAAACATGGGATCGATTTTTGCACTATCGATATTAAAACGGGACCTAGATGACTCTCTAGAAAAAGTTGTCGTCCCCTGAACCCAAACTCATGCTGACCACTGGCACGAATCGAGACATTCAGTTCACTATCTCCGGTGTCCAGGAACAACAAGCTGACATTTGATAAAAATCCAGTAATAGATCTTGTCACTTTTCTTTTAAATACGTAGAATCGGCTCCTCTCTACTCAGTGTCTGAAGTTTGTTTCCGTTCCTAACAAATGTCATGGTTTGAGGAAATCTACAAAAATTATTTAAAAAAAAATAAAATTCTATTTTTATGAGTGATATCAGTAAATAGCGCTCAAATATCTTGCAAAAAGAATTCTTCTTGCAGCATTAACCATTTTCTTTTGATTGGTGAGTAAACAGTTTTTTTACAAGGACTTCTTTTCTGTAGATTTTTTTTTTTTTTTTAAAGCTTTCTTGTTTTATTTTCATGTCCTCGAGATTCCTCGACCAGCAGTAATTATCCTCATAAGAATAAAGTTACACTTACAGAAATAGTTTTCTAAAGTCAAGTGACTTTATTTATTTATTTTTATTTCGAAACAAAATTCGCAGCATACAAATTAAATAAATAAATAAAAATGAAAAGAAAAGAGAAAAAACAATCTTAAGTCCGAAAAACTAAGATGACGTAAATTGAAATAAATATATAAACATATTAGTATTCATGTTAGGAATTCTTACGACTAAAAATAATGTATAAAAATATTTTAACAGAAGGATGAAGTAATAAAAAAAGTGTTCAGTAAAAACAAAAACATTATCGTGCTTACCGCCATACTCGTCGCCATGACAAATAATAACAAACTCTCCAAACAAAGGTAAAAATGATTTCACTCTTCTTGTAAAAGTATTTCGTCCATCGACGGCAGTAGAATTCTATATTAGTCTGAGTCAGCTTTATGGAATGCAGATTTTTTTTCGTTTTTTAAACTGTAAAAATTGATATAAATTTTATTACTGTAGTGATTTAAGAAATATTTATTGAATATCATGATTAAGAAATTAAAAACGATGGGTTACAGGCGTTCGTAAACAGGGGGAACAACTCTTCCTTATTAATTCCCTTGTTCACTCACTTAACCCAACAAAAGCATCGAATTTTAAAGTTTGTATATGTATACAATTGGAAAAAATGTGATATCTAAGGTTAAAATGCATTTTTAAAATGAAAAATCTTTCTTGAAAGTTTTATTTTACTTTTAATTCTCGGCTAATGGAATAAATACAACATTTCCAATAAGCAAGATACTGTTTTTCAAACCAAATTTAAATTGATTGGAATGATTTTTTTTAAACCGGTATAATTGGCCACATTTACAAATCTGTCAACACAACATAATTCTCTTTGTTAAAAATCTTTCAAAAATAACATATACTTTGCTGAAATTCTATTTGAGGAAGATCAAAAGTTTAATTAAACTGAATTAAAACAAATATTACTTTTAGTTTATCACAGAAAAGCATTTTTTTAACACAGAGGTGGGTGTTTTTTACGAGATGTTGACAGATCAATAGATAGCTTTATGTTTGGCATCTTTAAGTAAAGGCAACATAACTATAAAAATGACCGGTGGAACAGAACGTCAACACCTTTCATATATATATATATATATATATATATATATATATATATATATATTAATTACCCAAGAATCTTTAAAATTTAGGAAAATATTCTAAGTAATCCAATATTTTATTGAATTTTAGGTACTATGGCTTTATAGTTTTACTTATGAAGACGTTTGTTAAGGATATGTTCGATAGGTAACAATAAATTTTAAATTTACTATAGTTACTGCTCTTATTTCCTGATATTAACCTGTGTAAATGCTGGTTGTGTTGAAAAGATTAATGTGGCTGCGTGTTGAAGAGCATTTAACATTTATACATTTTTAAATCAAGGAAAAACAATGGAAAACCTATTTTTGTTTCAACGATAAAGTATTATTAAAATCAACAAATACAAAACAATTTTTGTAATGTGTGAATAATAAGGAGGAAAAAGTAGTTTCCCTTTATCTGCTAGTTAAATAAGATAAAATGTAATAAAGCAAGTTTTCTGAATAGAATGTTCAAAGTTCTGTATTGAAATAGAATGTTGTATTCAGAAGAACATACAGTAAATTCAGTTGTGTGTTATTGTATAACTAACAGTGCTGTTGCAACTTGGCTTGTTCACAGAGAACTAATGGTGAATGATATTCAAGTTCTGTGTCTGTGTGTGCGCAGTGAGTAGAATGAATAGTCTGTGTAGACGCGTGTGAGTTGCTGAGTTCTACTGTCTAATTTTGGAACGAAGCCTGGCTTTTATTATTACCGGTAGGCTCCAAGAACAACGGCGGGAGAAATTTTGAAAGAATACAAATGAAATATCTGATTGGATGAAAAATTAACCAATCGGTGATTTTTTTAACAAAAGCATGTTTGTGAATTAACGGTAGGAAAAATTCAGTGTGGTGAATGCGATCAGTAAATTGTCCTGTGATAATTAGTATTTATTATTTAACCAATCACAGTTGAGAAAAATGTAGGCGTGGAAAACATAGTAGTAGTCACTACACCTGTATGAACGTTTATATTTACAAAAATCTGCACGTTTTACACACACACACACAAATTCAAAATTATTTAAAAAATAATTGGGTCGCTGAATTATAGTAAGCTTTTAGTCTTTCCTCTCAATAATAACGTAAGGATTTTGATAAAACTTTGTTTTTATTAAGTTTGGAGCATTTTTCATATGTATGCTCATTTTTTTTTGGCGAATCTTTGGAGGTATAATATGAGAAATAAATTTAAAATAATACAAAAAGAATAAAAACATACTGTTCGAGAAATATTAAAATTTTCTAAAGGTAATATTCATAATATTTTGTTGGGAAAGATTCCATGAGTCACCGTTTGTTAAATAAAAAAATGAGAGAAAAGATCGTCGCGTGTTCAGATAAAATGATGATATTTACACAAATATATTGTAATTACTTATCATGAAAGGAAGGTTAGTAAATGATTTTTTATAGGTAACATTTGAGGTAACATTTAAGGGAACACAAGGACAACACGAGTCGAATTTAAAAAACAGACGATAAAATTTATTAACGCACTAAAAATGAAAGAATTACAAGTTAAGTGCTTCGTGTGCCAAATGATGGCCAATAATATGTATGTACAAATGATCACTGCAAATAAATATGCCTCTTTTACAATAAAAATTACAATGGTACATAAGGTTCTAGTGGATCTAAGAAGGTTGCGTGAATATTTAAGATTGTGCTGCAAATAAAGTATGCAATATCCACAAACATAAATTATAAGAAATGGCCAAATGGTAACGATATTCAATCACTACAAAAATACATGTTTGAAACAACAAATTAAATTTTATATACACAATTTACAATTTCTTTGTAATGATTTTATTAATTGTAAGACAACAATTATGGCACCAGGCCGAAAAGGGGTAAAGGGTTGAGGTTGGTCCACACTGACTATCCTATACCTAGCTAATCTGATTCACGACCCATTTGCTTGTTACAATTTGCCCATTCACCACAAGAACTCATCCGTCACCAATCAATCCTCCATCCACCATAATATTGCATCCTCTCAGGGGGACTTACAGAAAACGCCCCCCGCCCGTGGCTTACAAATTGGATGATAATAAAATATATACAACATATAAAAAATTTTACAGATGAAGAATGAGAGGGTAGGGAATAAATCCCAAAACAAACTAAATATCAACGCAAATCAAACTAAACCTAACTGATGTTAGTAGGGCCCGTCCAACCCTCAAAAAGAGAGAGGTCGCTGTTACCTGCATATTGGACAAAATCAAGAGGATCTCTCGGGAGGAGAAAAATATACGGACATGGGAAATATAAAAGCTGACCCAGCCGAGATGAAAAGGGGGTGGAGTTAAAACAAACTGTGTGTAAGTCTCAATTGCGACGAAAATTCGTTTGCTATTTCTATTTATAGTTTTTTAACAACCAAATCGGCTCAACGAGGCTTGGTAGCTGTTGCGAATTTTTCCGAGAAAGCATGGGCGAATGTTCTATTTTTTATTTTTTAGCCAATAGGATTTCTTGAAACATTTAAATTAGGGGTGAATTTGAGAAAGATTTTTTTAAGTCGGCTGAGCCTATTTTTGCACAAAATTTGATGGTTTTGTTATCGAAATTTCTCGAAGATTATTTTATATTTAACAACCAATGAAATTCAAGAAAATGTTTGAAATTGAAATGAGGGTTACTAAAAGGTCATCGGAAAAGGCAAACAACATAAAAATAAAAGAAGAAAGGAAAAAAATACTTCTTTGAATATTTTTCAAAGAATAAGGTACAATGTTCGAAACAATTTTGATTTTTTTCTTTTGCTTTACCTTCAACGTACCGACCTGGGTTCATGCAGCAGCTAATCGCCGACTCCTCGAATTCAATTCTGCTTCTGCTTTTATTCACCAAGATAGGCTCCAGATTTACTTCTCGGAATTTGGAAGGAAACCTTTGATTGGTTCCGAACGAAATCCAAACGCAGTTATTTTCACACAAATTGAAATGTAGCAAAATATTTTTGAAATTCAAAAGTTTAAGCAAGAGCCCAATACAACGTTTGTTTTCTCTCAGAAAAGCAGTCGATACACGCTCAGATAGCTAATATTTCTTAATATTAGAAAGTTCTTTTCTTTGACTGTAGGGAACTGAATATGACTAGTCTTTCATTGAGGAAGAAGGATAGTAGAGTTGGGAGACAAAGAAGAGACGCCTTCAAATATACCGCATTAAATTCAATAGATACAAAAAAAAAACCTTTAAAATTCTGTATAAACACGGCTCCAAAATTAAGTTTTCTGGAATCTGATTGGATATAAAAAGTCAAGTGATGTGTTCTTTTCAACGTCCGCGCGGCTGAACTCGAAATGACCTGGAAATAGGTCAAGGCTGGGTAAAAAAAAAAAAATGCATTCAGAAAAACTCAGATAGGATTCGTGAGCCGGCACTGGCTGACAAATAGCAATAAAATCGGCTTGTCAGCAGCAGTCAGCACCAGATTTCAAACGGAACAGTCGGTGACGAGATCTGAAAGGGTATAGTCAATGAACTAGCCCAGTCTCGACACACGTTACCATGACAACGCCTCAGTCGTGACGAAGTAAGTTTTGTCTCAACTCTTCTTGTTCACTGTTTCAAAATTACTGCTATCGCACGAAATCAGTCAGCAGTCACGCACGTTTCATTAGCGTGTGCTTGACATATATTGGCGTACATATTACTTCAAACTTTGCAGACTCACTTGCAATAAAATAACTTCGAACTTTGCAGACTCACTTGCAACAATTCACTTGGAACACTCGAACTACTGGTCTTTTCATGGTTACAACAAAGACAATTGAATTGTTATATGTAAAAATATCTGTATCGCCTGTATAAATGTTATTGTCATATTTAACTTGATCTTCTTTTTCTGCGAAGATCATTTATTCGCGTTGTTTATAATTTTGTATTGTAATTTATGGACACGACATTCGGATTTTATTTCTACACCTAAAATCCGGGTAGACTGGGCCAAGTAACGCTTCTTCCCGATTTAGTGGTGCGATGTTGCTGGTTTCTTTCCGCTTTCGAGACACTCTTGAGTGATTTGTTATTTGGATGTGATGATTGTGATAGCGTTGTTGGTTGTGAAGCTGATGCATTTCCATTATCAACTTACGCTGGTTTGATCCTATCCACTGATATATTCTCTTTTTCCGTTGCGCAAAATAGCAAAGAAT